AGTATACACGAGAACGTGGTTCCCAGTAAACGAGCTTCCGTTGCCAGCTTGGTCCAGCTCGAGGCCTTTATGTCACCACAAAGTGATATCATCGTTTGTATCGGGGAGTGGGGAGACTGGGGACAAGCATGCAGTCAATGAAAAAATGCCCGGCAATGGAAATTTGAAATGCTTGGATGCGGATGTTGATTCATACGACACTAGAGGACGCTGTTCATGATAATGATGTAAATTTGTTATCATGTACACTTACACCCCTGAATCGTACAACAAACTAGCGTATTTCTAAGGCTTTTTCTCCTCTATCTCCCCTTTGTTTTTTCGAATGGAAATATTTTGGTTGCTGGGGAGTCCAAAAACTTCCTGAGATGGGCCTCAATTTTGTTTTTCTTACGAGAAAGTGGGGAATGATTCAATGGCCCATTCGTCCCAGGTCAAAACTGGAGGGATATATTTCCCTGTGATTTACTCCCCTGCCTATACCGGCTAATAATATAATAAATATAATGCTAGCCATTAATTCATTACATACGCCATGACCTTCAGGGAACTTCCCTGAATTTATTACTGAGTTCATACTAAGATCCATGGCTTGAAATTGGAATTTCTTGACAGCTATTTGAGATAAACACGTTTTCGTTGATATGTTGCCTTCCTTTAATCCTGTTTGGAGTGCATATGAGTTAAAATGTCAACATGTTCAAAGCCAGATGACGACTGGTCCAAGATTTGGGCACTATACCTTCTAATTGTTTATGCTATCTCACGATTTTCTCTGTGCGGAAGCAACTAAATGCTACACTGATATATTGAATTTTGGCATATGCAGATTTTTTTTAATTTCTTGGCCTTCTAGATACTTCTAGTTTAATCGGTGTAAAACTCAGTGATCATTTTTTATTTGTTCTGCAAAGAAATAAACTAATATATACAGCAACTGATTATCTTTGGAATATCGTAGGGGACGCGTGTTTTGAAATTAGAGAGTGTTAAAGAATATGCATGAAAAAACATGAAACGTCGGGCAACCCAACCCACGTGTCATCTGCCTATCCCGTGAAAGCGGTTTACATGAAACGCGGCTGAATTTATTACAGGTATTACTAATTATTTCACCAAGAGACTAAAAACTCGAAATTACATTGTGTGGCTTCAAGGATGCACCTGTAAGCAGTGTTCGTCTCCTCACATCGATGTAACATGGGACACGGGCTGGCCATGCATGCTAACAACCATGCAGAATAAAAGTAAGAAAGAGGCATCAGACCTGTGTTGTTGCCATGAAATTGAACTGGTATGACCTATGATGCCCAACACAAGTATATGGACCTATAATGGTGTCCTTGGAGAATTATAATGACGTTTCCGACTGCCTTATGGGGAAAACGGTTATTCACATCTGTGATGGAGACATCTCCGGTGCCAAAAACACTAAGTCTTGTAAGATGGATCTTATCCTTGAGACAAGAGATATTCCAAAAACAAAATAAAAAATGCTGTGACTTTCACATTCCCCTCCAAAATCCTACGACAAAAGTGCAGTTTGCACACGACACTTGGAAAGAATGGCTATTAAATGTGAACATTCTCCTGTACCGCTTGTGGCCGTTTCCCGCCTAGATTTGGCCCTCATTAAGTTGAGTTTGTGATCACAATACTTCTAGCTCACCTGGAATTACGCACTGGGGCAGCTGGCGGAGATACCTAACGCGACCCGCTCGTTTGACGACCATGTCAGCAGGTCGTTTGGCCACCAACTGTACCTTGTTACCGTCAATCCACTTGATAGGGCAATTCAGATTCAAAGGACAGGATTCAAAGATGGAACTCGTGTCTCGTTGAAAGCTCTTCACTGATCCAAAGGAAAGCAAAAGAGGCGAAGAGGTTAATTCCATAACTTGAAACTCAGACTGTGAACATCCCCAAAATCTGCCCACTAAGGAATGTATTTACAACGTAGTTTGTCAACGGGGGAGAGTCATGCATAACGTTATCATTTCTGATCTCTAATTCGATCACATTAAATAATAAAGCCCTTATGCAAGAACTCATAGTCATAGCAGCCTTGTTATTATATAAAGTGAAAAAGGACCAAGCATTTTCTATACAATGATGTTAAATTTAACACTGCAGTTGCTACGCAATCCGGAGGATCTACCGATTGTTCGGCCGTAAAGACATCACACTCACCACTTGTTAATAAGACTATCCAAATGAGCAGCAGAGAAAAATTGCGCTCCATCTCTACAAACGATGACAATACGTTTACAGATATTTCAAAGAAGGTATTTGGAACTGTTCGCGGACGTTTCAATTGGGAGAGTTAAAGTCCCCCAGACACTTCACTGAAGGATTCATCTCTGCCTGTACTGGTCACACACGGGTACAGGGACAATCACAATCGGCAACCTGATTGCATGCTGATCTTCTGATCTCGCCGCATCAGATAGCTTCAGGGCGGATCATCTCTCTCACACAGAGCCTGCAAAATGGCGGCATATAGTCTATTCCATAAATAAAACAAACGGTGAATAAATAACCAGTACCCGGGCTTTTAGTCACTGAAATATTTAGGCCTACCAAGCGCATTCTAAGGAGGGTAGGTATACGGCGATCACATGTCAAGAAGTCGATTTTAAAAGGACAAGGTTCTTTTTTTAACGGTAAACAACTGCCCAAATCATCCGAGGTTTATTTGGTCGAAATTTTGGTGACAAAGTCCGCTGACAAATCTTATTCACTTGGCATTTAAACCAGTGTTGAACACATTAACCGGTTAGGCTTTTTGAATCCTTTTCTATTCCATTGGGTTTTGTGATTTTTAGACCCTAATTTCAGCGCGCCGAGAACACATCTAACAAAACACATTTTGTTACTGATATTGGAAATACGTGTTACACAAAGTCATCGCTGTTTTTCTATTCACAGTGGTCTGTCTTGGAATATTTCAGACCTGTGTGTGCCGCTGTCGAGATAAGATATCCCGATGTACACGACGCACGATTAGTATGCACGAGACCGCGCAGATGGGCTTCATCAACTACATAGCCCATGACGTCACAAGAAAATAAATTATAGACCTCGTAGTCTAGGGTACGCACGGTATCCAAGCACACGGGCTCTAGCAATGATAGCGGGGCTAGGCCAGGCGCTGAAGCTTTTTATAATCATCATTTCTGGCTGACGGGTTTCGCACAAAATGGCGAAATGCCAAGTGCCCGAGTGCTACAATCGCCGCGACAAGGACAAAGGGAGGAAGAGCTTCTTCCGGATTCCCGACCCTGCCAAGGGGTACCGGGACCTAGCCCAGAGGTGGCTGGCCAACATCGGCTCGGGCAAGAAGGTGGAGGGCTTTGTCTTCTCCAAGAACAAGCTAGTCTGCGAGGACCACTTCGAGTTGACGTGTTTCAGGGAGGATCTGCAGGCCCGGGTGCTCGGATACCGTCCCGCGCGCAAGAAGCTCAAGCCGGGCTCCGTGCCCACCCTCTTTGAGAGCTGTCGGGACGGAAGGCGAGACCCGCAAAGACTCTGGCCGAGTCAGCATCTGAATACTGTCGCCCGCAAGGTGGGCAGAGTTAAAATCAAGAGTTTTCCCCATCTATTTTTGCATCTTTTGCATAATTGTGGTTATGTGATGGTTGTGTGAGTCGATAATGAGACGATGGTTGACCATGGTGATGACACGTAAAAGGAAACCAGGTCTTCACTGAACGGTGAATCTTCACTTTTCCATTGTTGAACTGTAAATTGTGATCACTAACCGTAGCCAAATACCTTGATAAATATTGTAGGACTGTTAGTTCCCGAAAATTTATTTGACTTCTATTTATTTATTTGCTTACTTGCTTTTCCCTGATATTTTGAAGAAAAAGTCACTGTTTAAAAGCAATTATCTTCGATTAGCCCAAAATGCACCTTACGACCTCTCCTTATTGAACACCGTACCATCACTCTTTCGCTACCTGGAAAAGTAGACTTTGACCCCTTAAAAATTGATAACGCTCGTATTAAAATGTCGTCTTACAAAAGCCAAGGCGAAGGTTCTCATGACACCTCACGACATGCCTCCTGAGGCATTTTGGTTCAAAACTTACTGTGCAGTTGACATTTTTCTGCTCATGCTTATATGCATAGAAATACATGCAGATGTTCCCCAAAATTGCAGGGGTTTTGGTTTCCCCTAGGAAAACTGTTCTGAAAAGCAGTCCAAGAGTACTTGGGGCGCTCTCTAGAAGCAGTCCCGAAACTGTAACGTTCACGGGCGCTCGCACTTTATCTCAAATGTTGGCAAATCCATGATGTCAACCCTGCATGTGCTAAACTTGTTGGGACTTCCTAATAATTCGCTCCTTTCCATTATTACGATACGGTACATCAACTTTTTTCTGTGCAGATTGCAAGAAAACGTTCCAGGCCCAAAGCAGAACCTTCCATTCCGCGCCCATCAGAGCTGCTGCCGTCAAGTTGCGGTCCTGCCTACAGTCAGGGGAACGGACAGCAGGAAGCGCCTCCCTCGCTGGTATGCCATGCTTGTCGGTGGTACAAAGTGATACGTGATAGCTCGCCCTCCTTTCCATAAAGCTTTGTATCAGCCGTGTTGAAATATCAGACCCTCCCAAACCCAAGGGCAAAGCGTTAGGCGCGAACGTGAATGTTTTCGCACACACATGGTCAATTCCAAAGTCTGAGGTATTCCGTGTGAGTAGGCCTAAATACCACGTTCCTTGGGCGAAAAAAAAAACATGTACGGCGCATTCATTAACACATCAGATGGTAACAGGTTTACTGTTGAGCTGAAGTGGGGAGTTCATCAGTTGGAAGTAGCTTGTCGTTCAAACCCAGCATCGATAAGCAAACTATCCCGAAAAAAGTATAAAGTTCACCAACTTGTCTCATCTCCCCGTAGCAACCAGACTCGCCACCTATCGTGATTGCTGAGGACATCGTAAAGACGGAACGGGACGATGGCACATGGCAGCAGGCTACCAGGCAAATTCTTACCCCAGTGGTCAGTGCGCCATTAAGTGCACCCGACACTTTACGTCTGGCACCCGGGAACCACCTCAAAGTAAGCTCTTATGTTTAAATACATGTACAGGCATTGCTGTTCCTTCTCTCTCCGATTACGGTGGCTCTGCAGGGCCACCAGTGTCCTTGAAAATAATGCAACAATGTCGAATAATGACTGAAACCTTGGGGAAACTAAAATCTCTTCAAAACACTCGATAAATTTCAGTCTACTGTACCCCATTCCGGTTTTTTCAAGTACACGTACATTTGAAATGTTTACATGTAAATAAAGTTCTTTTCCCCTTTGTTCTTTTGGCAGGTTCGCTTGGTAGAATTTGCAGACAAAGAGGTCCAAACGGACCCCGTTCTTATTTTGCCGATCAGACGATATGACTGTTTGCATGGCAACAGAGTGTCATGGTTCAGGGGTCAAAGATGAAAAACATCGAATTACTTAAATACTGACTCCATCCGAGAGAAATTTCACACATATCCACCACTTTTTTAACAAGATATTATTCGCTTTTATTTATGTACAAAATATCTTACATAGTTTTACTCTGCCAAAAAAGTGTTAACCTCATGTAGTGTAATTTTGATTTATGGGCGCGTTTATAATAACTGTCCGTACCGTTTCATTGCAAGAACATCCAGCGCCTTTGCCTAAATTCCGTGAAGATGTATACGTCGTCAGGCAAAAGTCTAAGAGTTTAATTCTAATATCAGCATTATTTTGACATTTGATCAATATCGGTTACAAAATAGCACCTCATTTTTTGCTGTTGATTTCTTTCCTAAATGCTCAGCATCTTATTCCCAAGAGGATTAAAGGCAACAGTGGAGTGGCCATAATTTGAAAGAGTTAATAATTCCCTACAATTAGTGCAAATACAATGTAGCCCTGTCATATGCTGCCTACTACTCGTATGGGCGGTTGGTGCCTGGCATTCCCTTGCAGTGTACATGTGTCCTGATATTTTAAAGAGGGCCGTATCTCCATTTTATATATTGTAGTAGGGTTTCTTACCTTGATAGCTGTCTAATTTTTGTGATGATTCATTTGGTGAATTAAATGTATTAGTTTGCTTCTGTGCTGATAGTCAACCATAGTTCACCGGCCATTGGTACGCTAAAACACGACGGTAATGAAGCAAAGGAAAGAGTTTCATATACAGACAGCATTAATCTTCCCTTAAAATGTCATCACAGTTATCAGAAATTGATCACATATCCCAAACAGTGAAATTTAGCTGAGAAAATTCCAAAGCATTTGCTTAGAAACCACTTACGTTTTCTCAGACAAGTCTCATAGGTTTGTGCACGCACAGAGGCATCAAGTCTTAGTCCGTATGCGCTCTTTCCGAAATGAGCAAGATCATTTCTTAATGCCTAGCTATGTTGGTAATTTCATCATTGCCTCTTTTTGTATTTTGAATCATTTTCTGGCTAAAAAAATCCTAGTATGTATTGTTCCAAATTTAATTCCGTCCAATGGACTGTTTCATCCAAGATTTTGAAAAAAAAACAATAGTCCAGTGCTTGCAATTTACGGAACAAAACATTTCTGCACTATTCTACATACATGTAATCCATGATGGCGACATCTCAGAATTTGATCTTGGTAATTTCATATTATTCCCAGATTACAAGCAAAACTAATTCCATCTGTTACGTTTCCTTGGATGAATTTCAAATGATTTCGTTCTTAGAACAAATGTCGTGAACGAGACAATATGGAAATAAAATGAACAAATAAAGTCTATAAAAACATGAATGAGCAATCAGCATAACGTCCTTTGAACCAGGAGAGTAAGTCGTTGTTTCCATCATAGGGGAGAGGAATCGACCGAAACATTCAATATTTCCAGAGAAGTCAAACTAGTGGAACTAAGCCGTCCACTCTGGCCAACTTTAATACGTTCCAAGCACGACTGAAACATGTCTCCAGACTTCCAAAGGTTAGTCGGCCACAATTGCAATTTTCCCATTTTTTTGTGTCTTTCATTCGAATCCATTGTGAATGAAGCATTACTTCTCGTACAAAATCTCGGTTACATGTACTAGACTTGTCTACCATGCTGTATCAAATAAGCAAGCTTTGTGATATCTCACTCCAAATAAAAGAACATCTCTTTCATGGCAGAAAACATACAGGATTTCTTTTATAATATAAAATATAAATAAATTCACATTGGCAAATTTCCACTGCTTTCCAAATATTCACGTCTCAATAATAATAATTTCCATTCAACTATAAATGCTACAGAGTGAAATAAGTTTGAGCTGTTGACAACAGCCGGAAAAGAAAAAAAATCTGCAAGAAAAAAGTCATGCTAAATCTTAGTACGAATAAGTGCCTTCATTTTGACTGCAATTCAGACTTCAAATCTGATTCAGCTCGAGTGGTACTCTGCGTCCTGAAGCAAGTTTCTTGTGACGTTCCTTGTGACGTTCAATGCTGTGTATTACAAACTCCATGCCCGCCGGCACTGTCTCATTTTGGGTGGGTCTTTGTTTTCTATGCCTTGAGATACTGCGGCAAACTTTGTTTAAAGCCAAGCCATGGTGTAAAGGTGAACATGAATGCCCTGGAGTACGGATGTGGTTAATGTTTGGCTTGAATATCACAGGATCACTTGCAATGAAGTGAGAGCATACAGTGAAACAAAATTAGTCCTACCCCTTATAAATTTTAGGTTTTTTGCATTTTTCTCAAAATGAAAGGTGGGCACATAATATTTGGGCCAAAGTTGAATGATTCTAGCTGTCAGGTATAAATGACTAACGGTTTGGGTTTTACCTCATTTGCATAACAAGGAGAATGCTACATTGGTTAAATTCTGACATGCTTAGAATTAATCATCCCATTCTACATGTCATGGTAGTTGGCCACATTCCTCTGAAATGCACTTGCTCCAGACATCCGAGATCCCTGATTATTCATTCCAGAATAATATTGTTGTTAACTGTAAGAATGTACTGATCATACAGACTCCGTAAATAAAGGAGAGATAAACACAGGAAAAACGTCCCCCCCTGGGAAGAAGCATATATGCCTTAAACCTGTATGGCGTGGAGTACGCTTGATGGCTTCCCATGAAATAAATCAGCGTAAAACAATGGGGTTTGTGTTGGTGCTTGCACACAGCATAAACCTCATTTAGGAATAGGCCCAGGAACTTTCCTTGAACCAAAACATGTAGAAATGTCAAGAAAATCACGAGGAACATTCAGAATGGTTGTGTTTTCAAGTACATGTACATATCCAACAGCAACGTTTGAGTAATTCACAACTTGGAAACTTACAGATCCAATGTGAATAATTTGAGGGGAAAGGACCATGTTTTCAATCGCATTCCCACTTAAACATGGGCTTGTCTCAGTACAGTTGCACCGGCACTGTATTGGACCATCTGCCAGATGACACGATACCACTGTATCAAAAGTGAGGAATCTTACTAGGACAGTTGGTTCTCTTAGTGACACGAGCAACACGTTCTTTGTTTCAAGATGCTACCTTCTGGGCTCTTTGTGGAAAATGTAAGAGTTGCTGTGTGCACTTGCAGACATTTCATGCATGAAAATGGCATCAAATAACCGTAAGAAATTTTTCAACAGAATGCGCACAAAAATGTGGGTTCGCTGCAGTGCACTTATTCAAAGTGTCATAGTTGAGTCCACAAGTCCTCTCATGGTAATCCCTTGTCATCCACGCCCACATCACATCACAAGCTATTCAAATGAATCAGAACCAAGGCAGTCCTCTCTGTTTGTCCCACTACGTGTGGCCACAATAGTGAATGGACTTGACCTGTGACTCGACTTCAAGTTGGCGTAACGTCACATTGTGTAGGTCTGCAATTCAACAGAGGTGATGCCTGCGAGACCCTGTTTCAAGGTACAGTTAGAGGGGGTCGCACCATTCTTCAAGGAAATCAAAACACTAATGCGGCTTTCCCGTACATTTTAGGAAAAAATTCAGCAGCCTGAGGGACAATCTGCTTGCCTTTTCATCGGTATCCATACAAGAACGAGGAGATTTTACCATGGCCAAGTCCCAACAAGCAAGTTGCAAAATGAATGTGAAAAAATGTAACCTATGTCAGTGCATCCAAACATGTTGAATCAGCTGCAGTCTTCAACCAGCTTTGAATTTTGGGATTCGTGTCAGGGTCAGGTAGACAGTACCTTTCCACAAGTCTCAGTGTGTCGGTTCCGCGGCTACGAGTAGGAAGTCTCATTTCTTTGCCTGCTGGTTCAAGTGTCTTGGCGCGTCCGCAAACATGTATTTGAGACTGTAGGCTTCGGCTAGCAAGAGGCTGATGTCTTGATTGGTCCAGTTGGCTGTCGGTAGGTTCTGAAGCAATAGCATAATCCCCTGAAATGACAAGAAGATTTCTTTATTTAATTCAATAAGCAAAGTCCCCCTGTGAGACCAAGTCTGTATGCATTGCAAGTAACCACTGGCCTTTATCCCAACTGTGAACATCAGCAAGAATTTGACAGAGAAGAAAACCCTGAAGTCTTTAAAGTAAAAAGCAGCCCCCACCAACAGGTGGTAGAGAGAACTCCAATATACCTGGAAGTCTTTTTCTTTCATGGCGGCATCGGCAAATTTGATGAGGAATGCAGCACAGACGTAGAGATGGAACACTGCAAAACCCTCAGGTTCGCTCTGACAGGAAAACAGAAACACTCAACTTAATGTTTCACACGACAGGATTCCCTCTTCCTCTCTTTAGACCCTTGCTTTACAACATCATCCAAATTACTCCAATATTTGCCTCAAGAAAAATGTCCAGCATTTACAGCATCAACACTTTCACTATAGGTAGGAATCCAGACACTCCAAGAAATGACAAGCTAATCCTCCGACATGCAAGTGGGTCATTCTATTAATTTGGGGTACCATTTTTCCCTTTACACCTGAAGAGTGAATAAGTAATGCAAATTACCAACCAAATAAAAATACCTGTAGTATGAAATCAATTTCAACAATATCCCTTGTCATGCTACACAAGTCATTAGGAAGAGGGACAGGAAATGTCACCAGTTGGTCCCCAAATTTATAGAGTGACCCAAATGGCACCCTCCAATTCATCTTAAGTCTGGGTTATGGCATTGCCTCCCCCAATGTCTCCCACATGGAGAGCTGTGGCACATCCAGCTACCTGCATAAAATGACATACAATAACAGTGTCTTGACTCTGGAGCCAAATTCATTCTGTATATGAAATAAAAATGCAAAGGTGACTTCCAACAGCGAGAGTCAACCTTCAGCTGTTTACCATGTAGGTGTCCCAGAGGCGTATCGTTCCTTTCAAAGGCAGTTCCCTCATGAGCAAGTTGTTCATCCAGCGAAAGGCAAACTGGAGATATTCGACTTGGTGGTTGAGCAGATGATGGTGCAAAGGAGCTAAGATGAAAGTAAAGGCACAATTTTTTTGGAATGAGTTTTGACTGAGTATCTGAAGTGCAGCTTCTGAAAAACACATTCTGTTTGGAAGTGACTTTAGACAGATCAGTAAACTCAAAATGTGACTCTGTCCATTCAAAAAATGGATTTTACTTGCTGCCCATGACAACGCCATGCGGCACTCTCAATTACTGTCACAGAAAGGCTACACAAATTTTAAAAACCAATGCCTGCATATTATTAATGACAAGACTTGATGTGCTTGAGCAGACCTCCATTTGAAAGGAGAGTCAGTCTTTTTTATGATGTTGGGGGCACAAGTTGTGGCACTTGAACACATTTATGGATGGATACAAGGAGTCTCTCTGAGATACAATATGTTGGTTGCAAGTCTTTGAGTTGTTCTGGGGTGTTCAGATGCATTATGAAGTTTTCAGCACGTTTTTATAAATAAAACAACTGGTTTTGCCGTTAACATGGAAACCAAAGAATCTTCTATCAATTTTGAAATTGAGTTGTTTTTTTGGGGGGGAGGGGGCAGCAGTCTCGTACCGTTGACTCTTTGCACAAGCTCTTTGAGTGAGTTGATCTTTGCCTGAATTCCCGGCTGGGCAAAGGTGTAGTTGTCTTGTATGCCATCCAATAGTTTGCTCATGCACCAGAATGTATCCGCCTCCACCTCGCGAATCTTGTCTGATGCTAACGTCAAGATGTCAAAGTCTTCTGTGACGTCTACATTCTCAGCTATAAAAGATTAATTTGACGACATAAAATGGTGGTATTCAACGTCAACAATCTTGCCTCTTCCCTTGCCCTGCACTCCTGTGGTACCTACAATAGTTCTGTTCCACTTTTAACCATTCCTGTGCATTCTCTGGAGCAAATGTTTATGAAGGTTTCCTCACAGTTCAAACACTTTCAACTTTCATCTCATCTCAATTCCAAGTATGCCCAATGGGTGTGGAACAAAAATGAATTGATGATGTTGAAAAGAAAGAGACCCCAGCTGATATGTACATGTAACTTGTGCATAACTTATAACTTGAACCCTAACCCCCTGGGACCTTTTTGCTACGGACCTTCCTAAATCCTCCTGAATCCTCAAATTTGGGGGTGAAAAAAATTGGATTCTTCCTCAGTCCTCGATTCAAAAGAAATATCGGGCTAAATTTATGCATGACTGAGCAGGAACAACACAAGGTCTAACCCACGACCTTCACTCGTGGCATCCTTCGCAATCAGCCATGCACTTTTGCCATTCACCCTCAATCCTCCAAAACTGCCAAAAGGATTTGGGAGGATTGAGGAGGGTTAGGGTTAATATGTATCACGACACATGAATGGAAGATCAAACGGGCCTCTAACAATGCTATGGCCAACCCCCTTACCAACAGAGTGAGTCGCCCACAGAACAAAAGGTAAACATATAGATCTACTGACAGTCCAACCAGCCTACATATATTTGGAATATGAGGAAAGAACCTGACAACACAGATTTCTACTACAAACAACTACTTAGAAACAACTAATGCTAGGAAGTACCTGTATGTTCAGTGAGGAATACCACAAAGAAGGGTGTGACGAGATCGTTGATGCCTTGCACATACCCACTGGCAGGATGTCGAATGGCCCAGATGTACAAGATTCGTTCAAAAATCTGGATACAGACAAATAAATAGGTATGTACCTTGAGCACCAAGAAACAGTCAAATCAGACATTTAAGACGTTCGTATCAATCAGTCAAACTATTTAAACATCACATGGAATAGGCATCATCCTTCGTCCGACAACTATAAAATCATGTCACAATGAACGATTGGTGTGAACTCACCTCTTGTACTTTTGGTTGCTGAAACAATGGGACTAGAGGGTTGGTTCTTGGGATGTCTATGTGGATCTGTGAACAGAAATGAACAGATGACATCATTCCTATAAACAGCCATGGCCAATACGATGTGTACAGGTTAGAGAATCATTTAATAGCACACATACGGATCTGGAACTTTATAAAGCTATGTGGAAAGCGGGCCCTTGTCAAGAAAGAATTTGGGAAGTGTGCGGAGGCAGAGTGGAAAGATACCGGCGAATTCCACGAGTCCGAGGAAGCTTGGGTAAGCACTCTGAGGTTGGCAATGGGAAATGTTTGAAGTGTGTGTTGTAGTGTGACCAATTTGCTTACCAGAATTCGAAGTTCATATTATGGCGGCACCATGCTTGTGGGTGGGGGGCAGAGGGGCAAGTGGAATGTGCATTGCATACCTTTTCAACCAATAGGGCATTGTGTGACTTGTACATGCATATTACGGATATGCAAGCATATATGTATAAGTTGGCGCAACTGCATTGATGGCATCGCCTTGGATATACGTACAAATTATACCATAGAGTAAGAAAACAATTGAAGCTTATGAAAGAAGTGCATGAAAGCAAATGGATCTAATGTGAGTATATTTTTGAAACATGGATGCTTAAGGAAGCATTTCACATCTCCCAAAATATTAAGGAAGCATATTGAAACACATTGAAACATTTGTCCCTGCCCATCAGGGTTGCATCTAGGATTGAACTCTCTCCAAACCAAGGTTAAAAACTGGCCGTCCACTCCAGGCACAGCTGTGGAAACCGACACTCCTGGGTGCTATTTGAGGCCATATCTTCACTGCACCCAACATTCAGGAGGAAACCAGAACGATTTATACATCAGTGTTGAAGATAAATTTATTAATTTAAATTATTTATGGGACGCTGTACATTTTAAACAAGTAAAACTGCCTGTCCAACAGTTGCTTTTGACTGTTCACACGACAGGTGGACGGGTGGCTAGCTGAGACACTGCTAATCTTTGATTGTTGCTTATGATTGGCTGGGTTACAGCATCTGCATTTAGTGATGTTAGGTCCTGATTGGATGCAGAGAGTCCCATACACACCTGCCTGAACATGTCCCTGTGTAACGAGTCGGTCCTTGTGCCGTAGTACTGCTCCACAAAGCCAAAGTATTCCTCTTGTTTCCGTTCTAACGTCAGCTCTCGTCTGTCCGTGTTGGTTGGTAAATAACCCTATGAATGCCAAAACATCATTGAGGAGCAGTAAATAAATGTTGGAAGCTAAACCAATTCATAGTATCACATTAAATCAGCGTAACAAATTTAAGCGCAATAAAATAATATATCTTTTCCTAATTCTACTGAAAATGGATTTTTTGATTACTCAATGTTTTGATTGTTTACTAACGGAACGGAGGCTTTAAAGTGACATTCCAAATATGAATAACGATTACTCGGAATTATTCAGCATTTACCAATAAAAGTTTCCAAGCTGTGGGACGGACAGCGTTGGGAATTCCAGACCAGCTAAGCTTCTTTAGTTCATCTGGAAATGAAACATCAACACAGGGATTTAAAAGAACATTTCTATGATGAAAACATGGACTTTACATGCTTGGCGAGCAAGATAAAATATATGAGTAAATATTTGATTTGCAGAAAACTGAGCTCCGCCCACAAAATGAAAGTTCTAGGGCAGCTTATGCTTTTGCAACAACTGATTTGTATTTGGGAGTTTCGGAATTTTATCACAATTTTACGAGGGCTCAACTTGGCAATATTTTGGGGCTGCTCAAGTGGATTTATGAAAGTGCCAGTTTTCAGAACTGGTACATGTTCTTTTCTTTACAACAATACCTTACAATAGCTTTCAAGCACAATGAAAATAACTTCGATATTTCAGTGTTTGCATAAATTAACATCAAAGAGAATGATCCTCAACGAGGACAAAAAGCAGCTCCCATTAGGCAAGTGGGTATGTTATACCATGCCAATAAGAAGTGCAGTGCCCAACTTGGACTTCATAATCATACACTGCCGTCTATTTGCCAGCATATTTTCAAACATTGTCGAGCAATGATGATGAAATCTGGCATGTCACTTAAGTGTGAAATGTTGCCTGAAACATAAAGTACACAAATATATGGTCTCAATATATGTATAATGTCAAATGTTCCACCCAAATATCATAAACATGTCAAATGTACTACAGAACTACATGTACCATCCTTGTTATTAAAAAGTGAGAGTGGCTCCACACAGCCGACATATTGCCTTCCTTTACAAAACGTCGCTGGGCTCCGACTCACCTAGTTCAGTGTTAAGGCCACTCAGGAGCTGTCTGAACTTGGCTAGCTTGCCCACTTCCCTGGCCGGCATGGGCATTGGGCTGATTCTAATTGGGGAGGAAGGTATGGGAGCCTCAAGGTCAGAGTTCTGCCGGACAGCTAGGCCAGGAACCCCGGACCGTAACGAGGGGGAGGATGGTGGGGTTTCCTGAGACTCTGGAAGCAATGAATCAAAGTAAAGGAAGAAACAAGAAAGAAAATAAGTTGGCCGTTTACTGCATTATTTGCTTCCCTCGACAGTAACTGGATGTCTTTAACAATTGAAAAAAACAAAGAATTATTATAAATTAAAAGCGTGTAAAAGCTTTTCATCTGAAAGTGACATGGATCCTATCCACTAGAATTTACGGTCAGTGTTACGAAGGCTTAGACTAGCAACAATACCATGTGGTCATGTGGTACTTTGTCTTCTGACTGGACCCTACATGTATGGCCATCCATGAAATCCTATAGAGTACATAGCCACAAATTCAACAGATAAAGGTAGACGTACAATGTACATTTTAGGCTACATTTAATGCATCAGAAACTTGGTGAAATGTGCACCACAGCAATCTAATGACTAAATCAAGAGTGCTAGACATTGGCAGGTTGGTTATACAGTCAGTTTAAATGCTAACACAGCTTGGGTTGTAAAATCTGGACAAGTGGAATCACTGACCTGCTCTCCCTTCTGAGACATCTCTGCTCATCGACCCCGCCGCATCGTCGTCGGGCCGGATTCTTGCCTCAAGCGCCCGGGCTTGCTGGGCGGCCCGCTCTGCCTGCTCAGTCCGCTGTTTCTCCAGGGACAGCTTTCGGGCTTTCAGCATCAACAGCTCCTCGTCGTTCACTTCCCAGGCATCACTGGTCTTGCTGTCGAAGGCAGCAAAAGCGTCCTTTTGTTTGGGACGGGCTTTGACACCGGCCTGGTCCCTCATTTGCGTTTGGTTGAAGATTTCACTGGGTGGATATTTGGCACTGTACACAGGTTTAATACTGCAATTAACAAAATGACAAACAGTACTTCAAAAACAAAACATATCACAGTTAGCCATTATTGACAATCATCAGCCATGTCAGTACAGTGACAACACATCTTCACCCCTTCGCGCCGGGAAGTGGCTATAGCCGCCGTAAAAATTGAGATCCTCAGCCCGCTTTTCAGCTATTATTCTCGGCCCACGCTTGAGTGAACACGGTGAAAGAAGGCAGACCCTGGCTCTTGTATATATGGTAATTGGTCTTTGCGCATAGCCCAGAAATGAAAAGACCGAATTTGCATCATAGTCACCAGCTTCACAATAGTCCCCACTTCGAAAAGAGGCAACGGGAATGTGGAAGCGTGAGTAGAGCCGCATGCCACCGAACAATGAGCCTTTTCACTGTGTAATTCAAAGTGTGCAGAGCACGCAGGGCCACAAACCGAGAATTTGCGGTTCGGCAGGTGGCCTTCATGGCCAAGCGAAGCTAGAATTCTTGGAGTCAGCTTTCGGAGAGAAATTCCCTTCGAGAAGGGGTTAAAGGTCCATGGGAAAGAGTTCTATATACGGACAACACTAATTTTTCCCTTAAAATGTTACAACAGCCATCAGAAAGTGATAACATGTCCTAAAAAAAGAAATTTAGCTACATGTAAGAAACTTCCAAAGCATTTACTTAGAAGACACTTGTTTTTCAGACAAGTCTCACAGGCCCAAGTGGTTTTCATGTGCACTGTAGGCCTAAAGTAAAATGACCAAAAGGCACAAAGACAAAAAAGAGGTTCCTGTTGGCATGCATGGTTTCCACATACATTGCATGCATGTAGAGCAAGGAACAGGAGAGTAACCATAGAGTAAGCGGCTAGCCAGCATAGACTTGGACATGAAATTAGTTTCTTCATCATGACATGGTTCAACATGCTCAACAACTGGTAAAACCAAGCCAAGAACAAATTTGATCTCAGAATCTGGACGTCGGTTGTAATGTAAAGAAGCTTTGCGTTATACTTAGTCAGTTAGTGGATGGCTAGTGCGTGTGCTATGAAATCCATTCCTCCGTGGTCTACCGCAGTGCTGGGCCAACTCTACTATGGCATAGGGCCTACATCATGGCCTTAGCCTGAATCAGTAGTACTAGTACTCACTACTAAGTAGGCCTACATCATACATGTACATGTATGTAGGCTAAATGCTTTACCTGCCGGGCAGGCGCTCCGAATTCTTCTTCCAATGTGTAGCCTTCTTCCCCGACCCTTTACTCCCAAATCCAGAACTAACACCTGCTGGGACTCGCACGTTCTCATTGGCAGATGCCATTACGTAAAATCTGCCAATTAGTATGGCAAGAAAGGGGCGCAATGGCAGGAGTCGTTGCAAAAATTCCAGCGACAGGGTAAAACACGGAAATGTACATGAGCTACACAGCTGCCATATTTGATCTGTTGACGTCAACAATCTGCGGACAATTTTCCCTCACCTTTTTCATGAATGGAACGATCTAGGAGAAACTGGTCCCTTCAAGGGTACGAATAAATAAGGCACGCCAGTACAAACGTACCAGTCAAACAACCCTATAAGCTGTTCAGAAAAACATCCCAAATGTTTTGAGTTTGGTGGCCACTAAAAGCCATTCTTCCCCCATACCTTTTCGCCACCCCAGAAAGAAGGGGACGAAGGTGACCGAGACCGTTGTTGGGTTTGTAATGGCCCATTTGCAAGATTTTTCACTCAGACAGCAACCATAAAAACTTGACATTTGATCCGTAACCCTGATTCATGGCGCAAGTTCGATCAGCGACAAAGTGTTAACCATAGTCTATTTTGAATTGTAACATAATATGCGTCAAATTTATATCGAGTACCAGGCAAAATCAGCCTGTGTTTAAAAATTAATTTCAGTGACACTGATAGATGCGCAAACAAGCGCGACGTCACGGTGACAACGTGAAATTTCAAGCGAGTGCGGTCTGGAAAAAAACAATTGCAACTAATCGTGTATCTTTGTATTTCATTAACCAATGTGGGTAGTACATGCAGTTCACATTTTGGGATCTGACATTAAGTTTGGAAACAATTTTGTTGGGTGCACTGAAAGGGTCATTGTTGGACAGGTATCTTTCAAATACTTAAAACAACCACTAAACTAAGTTCATCGGCCACTATCTTCCAAGCAGTTTAAGATATCACGTTACATATCATACTAATGTAAACTGTGATCTCAAAACTGCGTCATTAGATATTGCAAGCAATTAAAATCAAAATGAAAAGAAATGTTTTTAATTGTAACCTTGGAACTGAAGTAGCACTTTCATAAGTGCTGAGACGTGAAAAGACCACATCTTGGGAATTATTCCTGATTTCATTAAAAGCCACGTGACCTCAACTTCTGTGCGATGATTGTCAGTACCCGAGTTGCTAAATTGTTGAGTTGAATTCTGAGCGCTTTATAACGATTACTGGTACAAAAGAGACACTCTGGGTTTTTCTTACTTTGAGATTTACTTACGTTTACGTTCATAAAGGAAGAAATAAACCACATGTTTTGCGAACTTTTAAAAAAATGACTTCGTCGACCCAGAAGTTTGCAATGGAAAATTCCGGGATGATCACAATTTTAATTTGAATTTTTTATTTTCACTGTAACGGGTGAGGGTGTCCGTTCAGAGAATGATAGGATTCAGGCGCATATTGATCGAATTCCCCTTCAAGTGGAAAGAGCTAACCCAGTCACAGCTCGTTGATCGGGGTTGGGGGAGGACTGGTGACGGAGGGGTGGTTCCAATATCTTTGAATAACTGACTAATTATGTGGGACTAGAAGAGGGTAGGATGGGGGAAGTTCGACAGGAAGATTGCACCGTAAGAATAACAACGTTTGAAGCAGTTTTCCAAATAAAATAAAATGCGCTGGCGCATTGCATTTGCCAGAGGCCTAAACTCTAGAAACGGGTTAGTTACTCAAAAACTCAATTTGGAACATTGTCATAAACTGGGGCTCTCATTCAACTCCAGTTACATCAGGGCAGTTTATAGTAAGTAGTTTACTGCACGCACATCACCATTCACTTGCTGTTCTGAACGAGGGACTCTTCAACATAACACAAAGATGCGTCCTCTGCTTCCAGCTGACAGTTGGCGTGAAAGTACTATAAACAGTTGAATTTTCAAAGAACAGTTCCAGAAAGTATACCTTGACTGTATAGATTTCAAGAAATTTGTCACAACATACATGTATGTGTAATTCAGAGATGTCAAATTGCACAGCAATGATATACATCAAAATTCTTTGATACCATTCAATCAAAAAGGACATCGACCCATCACCTCATGTTTGGTCCAGTTTTTTTTTATTGCTGTTATCCTTATTCACTGTGTTAAATGGAAGTGAAAGGAGATTTTGAACCACATTTTACTTTCTGTCGCAGTAATTCTTTCGTCCTCCATCATATTTCTGAGCTATCCATTTTTATTCTGCCCTCCTAACCTGGCAAATTGAACGTATTTCACAAGATCAGTTTTGTAAATTATATGAACTTCTGGGAGGAAAGTTAAGCTCATGATCATTTATTTATGAATCACAAGTTACTTTAAAATGAACACAAAATTCTTTTGACATCATTCTTTTTAACAGAAAGTACATTGTATACTCATTTACGAATGAAAGCTTCAAGTCCAGTTTTCTGTCTCTCAGTTCGTTAGCTATCAGTCCTTCACTTTCAGAAATGCTTGTCACTGCATATGTGAATTGTTTCAGTAGTTTATCTGCGTCGAACAGAAGCACCTCCTCATCGATTGAAAAGAGCAATATATGGTCGGGAGTTCATGTTGCTGGTAGCGACGCGCCCGTAACGCGTGCATTTCAATGAAGTGCAGTTCCGACCAAAGCTGCCGCCGTTGTTAGGAAAACTGCGCCCTCTATATTGGTCCAGCTCGTGGCTTATAGGCCCTTTGTATCCATTTCTTCTTCCAGGATTCATTTGTAGGCACATGGATATTTAGATACATGAACATAATTCTATGAATTAATTACAGATTACACTAAAGTACTTGCATATCAATCAGCGTTTGCAGAGCTTATAATCAACGTCCCAGAAAATCATTTTCGAAACTTACAAAACCACTTTATTTTACGGTTATATTAGGGTTCTCCGTATGACTCTAGATCTCCAAACTGCATACCATCATTTATATCAGATAAAGAATTCTCCTTTTCCAGAAATTGATTATGGTTTTGGGCGGTTCACTTTGGATCAGTGTAATGTTTCAGAAAATAAATGGAATGAGAGCCTTTCGGACCTTGGGGTAGAGCTCCCTTCCATCTCGCCCGTCGAACTCCTCTTTGTAACGTCGGTGATGCTTGTGGGAGTAAACTGTCAAAGTTATGATAGTTGCCACTAGGAAGAGGGCGCCATTCAGAGTCCAAGTTGCCAAGAAGAATCCCAACCACGAGATGATCTCACAGGTGTAGTGTGGACAGGATACTAGGGAAAAGAGGAGACTCCGCGGGATCACGTGACCACTGGACAGAGACGATTGACGCCCCTCCGTTGTGCCGCTGCGGAGCATTCTCAGCTGGATGTGGGCGGTGCAATTTCCAACCTCCCCGAATATGAAGATGACTATTCCTACGCTGAAGATAGCAATGTGGGTGTTTATGTACCCTAGGTCGGGCCGTAAGGCCCAACCAGCCCAGAAGCCGAAAGTCCAGTAGTAAACTGGGGCTCCAAGAGTTTCAGTCAAAGACATTCGTCTCTTGAACCGATGCACGAATAGTACCTCCAAGGTCCTCCGGATGAAGTGGGCGACGTAGAGTCCCATAAATATTGTATGCGCACCGGGCTGCCAGACACCGAATTTTCCAGAGTTTGCGGTCACCATACAGCCGACAACCGGGAAGGGAAGCTTGGGTAGGCCTGGCACAAGAGACGCGATGAGGAAACTCGCAATCGTACCGATGTAAGCCACGGAGCTCACTACAACCGGACTGAAGCCCGTGCTCGTTGTATGCGCCTCGCTCAGGCATGCTTTTCTAGCAAAGCTGTCTCCAGCACCTTTTACAGGGTCACTTTCTGGCGAGTCGTGACTGGATGCTGCAGCCATTGCTCTTTTCCTGCTATGTCGGGGCATGAGTCAAACTCGTCCGGAATGATTTTGAGTCCAGAAAGATCACTGTTCACCTTAACTTGTCATATCATGCGGTAATATCAAGCACACGTAAAGATGACTTATCTCAGACTATGGACTGTAGGACAGCGTTACGCTGAAGATCCTCAGGGCCCAGTGGCACATGACCTTCGAAACGGCTGACTTGATAAACGCTGTTCGTGTGCCGGAGGGATGACCTGCGCTCACTGCGCAGCTTGGAATTTTATAACAATCCCGTGAAAGATGGGAAATGAGGGTTCATTTATACAAAAAATTAATTAAAAAAAATAAAACAAGTAAATTACCGTGATAACATGTGAGCAGTTATACTTATAGCCTCAAGGGCTTTCGATCTTCGAAGTGATTGTCTTGAGGATTTTGATGGCATTAAAAGAACACCGTACATAATTTATTCCCTCTTTAGACTTTTTTCCAAAAGCTGCAGGGTACTCAACTTGTACTAACTACATAATGCTCTTTTTTTTTTTTAAATTCGTCTCATACCTTCATCCTTTCACAGATTATACCCCTCTAACAATTTAAAGCGTAAAATTATTATTATTATTATTATTTTACATATTAGATACCCTGGCAGTTGGTTTTTAAGACAAAGTGAGTTTTCGTTTGCCTATTAATAAATGAATGATTTGCACAAATTTATGTTTTTAAAACCAAGGTCAACAAACTATCGATCGAGTTCAATACACTTTGGTCACCGTATGCGCGTATAGTAGTATAGTATAGTAGCAGGCACAACAAGCGCAGCAGGAAGACACAAATGTGATGTTTGACAGATGCGTTCTCGGAAATCTTCTCATTGTAAATGATTTAGCCAATTTAATCGTGTTCACACCTTCAGAAATGTAGTTCTGTGTTTTATGGACAACGATGGCGGAAGATGTGGTCTTCTTTTCTGTGCTGAAGCTGGCCGGAAAGCCTTTCGATGTGACACTTTCGAGACGGACCATCTCATGGGTAGCCAGTGCGTCGCCATCCACGGGCAGCTCGGGCGTCGGCGGTGTTTCCCAGGCATGCCAGGTGGAGTCCCGAGGTACATGTAATTCTGGTTCGCGTTAAACAGCGCAGCAATTGTAATTTACATACATAGGAAATTGCAATCGCAGTAGTTTTATTGATCTCCGGAAAGAGTTCCATATACCAACACCCTGTCAATACCTCTGTACAAACCCTATGACCGGACCATGGCATGAGACTGGTCTGACAATAGGTGTTTTTCTAAGTAAATGACTTAATTTTTCCTCCTAAATTGAACTTTTCTTGACTTGTTTTTGCTTTCTGACGACTAATAGATCACTGTATGGAATAAATACTGGCGTCCGTATATGATACTCTTCCCTGATCTGCTAAGTACTTGTCCTACAAACAAGTAATTATTTCCTACACCTATTAGCTGTCAGAAAGCAAAAACATATCCAGAAAAGTTCAATGATTTTTTTTAGGAGGGAAAATAGCAAGTCATTTACTGAGAAAACACGTTTCAGACCAGTCTCATAGGGTTTGTGCACAAGGTATCAAATGGCTTCAGTATTTCCATCAAATGATCATAATGTTCACACTCGTCACTAGACTAAGAAAAGGCAAGCTGAAAACCAATAAAACTAAACTCTTATCTCATGGCCACGTGGTCAGCCACTGTTGATCACTTCTTCATCATTTTAAAGGGACCAGGCAATACATAATTTCACTGTAATCCTTGAAATTGCACCTGTGTGTTTCATTTAACCTTAATGTCAGTTTTTATATTGCTTTTTTATCTTGTATTTTAGAGCTTCCCCACTTCTCCGGAAGGCTGTAGACAGTACTTCTTCAATACACATATTTCCAAAAGAACTTCATTCTCATAAGTCCAAAACAAAAGGATTTCAAACAAATTTTTGCGCATGAAGAAGGGTATGAAGATGCACAAAAACTGAGTTTAAGAGAAATGAATTGCCTGGATCCTTTAATCTCAGTCAAAGTATTTTCTTGACCTCTTGTGAGCTTTGTTACTGTATTTTTCATGTCAATTAAAGAAGAGTAGTTATGAAAAAGTAAACTTTGAATTAATGGTACATGTTCACCAGACTAAATTTTATTTCCAGCTGGTAGCACAGCAGTGAGGCAGGGGACCAGTATGATGCTGCCTTACATTTATCATTTTACAAATGAAACAACAGGAACCAGTGAAACAGCAGGTATCCTTCATGGATCTTTTGTTTACCACTCAACTCATCCCCAGTTTCACTGCATACTTCTCAAGCGGAGCTTCCTGTTCATCTGCCTTCACTATTTCTCAACTAACGAAATGTCCCTGTAATTGGACATGTACATGTACTTGGCATCGCTTTGCTTTTAACATGTCTGGTGCATTGTGATCAAGTGTCTGCCTTATTTTTCCATTTGGAGAGCAAATTTAAGTATTTCTCCAGATTCGGTGGAATGGAATTTTGGACACCTTTTCCTTACTTTGACAATTTTATGACAGCATCCTGACCAACTTACCTAAATTCATCCGTTCCTTCATGTATGCTGCTTCTTTTGTAGCTGATGGGAAAAGAGATCCTTTGTTACATCCATAGATCTTTTTTTTTTTTGTTCAATCAAGATTCTTCACTTTCAAATTGACTGACAGGCTGGGTGTGTATGTTTGGGCCTGGTGGATCGGTTTACATTATGCATGTCTAGTTTTTTTTACCGATATTTATTTGTTTGATTGTTGGGTATTTGGTTAAAAAATATGTATATCTGTGGTGTTTTACTTCGCACACTTATCCCACCCCTGGAAAATTGGTGCAGGGATGTGGGAAAGCTAACATCTTTCTAGTTCAGTTGTTTTCACTCAGAGAAGACTTTTACCAGTAAGGTACATGAAAATGTCAGATTTTTATATTCTTGGTCAAAAGTAACATGTACAATGTATATGTACAGTGTCCATGTAGGTCTGACTCTACTTATCACCAGAACATGTCTGTAAAGATACATATAGCCCAAGTCACACATGTAGTCCTCTGACAACTTTATAGCATACCAGCAGCAGTGTGAAAGAAGATTAGACTGTTAATTGGATCAGACCATTTTTTAAGGGGTATGCATCAATTTATTTTTCTGTTCATTTGTTGACTAAAAACTTATAGAGGTGTGACTCAACATACTCGTAGATCTAGGTACATGGACACATCTAGATTAATCTAGAGCACAGTATCTGTTACTTAAATGTCTCATGATTCTCATCAATGAAAAATTTAAGAAGGGTGAGATTTAGAGATCAATGTTGCACCTGCTGGCAGATTGATTTCTGTCAATAAAGAGGTGCATGTATGTATGTTTTTCCTCTGTTGAGTGAAAAATATTGCTGGGTTCTAACTCAAAATTTTAAATAATCGCCCAAATTGTAACAAAATGGAGTCACTTACTCTTTCGTGTAGTGCTCAAGACAACTTTTTTCTCAGCAGTTGCTCTGAATTTCAACCAAAATTTGACAAGGACAAGTGGCATGTGGAACCTTAATAAATATTGTTGCACTGCTGCATTATCAAAGGAGACGACCTAAATATAATCTGTCTTGCAGCCATTCATTTTACTGCTTCCTTGCTGTCACAGCAAACCACATACAGTATTCACCATCGAAGATGCTTCGCTTCAGTGTCAGATTTTTGAAAAGCGTGCAGCTTTGCCGTTTCGTGACCAGTGTTGATTGTCTAGTCACATGCATAGCCATCTAAACATGAAGTCATTGCAAAATAGTGTAGTATATCCTTACGAAAATAACCTGCTGAAAGTACATGGACATGTCTGTCAGGATATGCAGCTTGACATGGATTTTTCTGTGGTTATTCCAAAATTGTAGTTCTGATAGACATGTATGAACAGAGACAGTTGCATTTTCACAAAGTTCTCAAGCAGTCTTCCTGATTTTATCATTTTCTACGGAAAGGAGGGCATATCTGAAGGGACAAAAAGCCACATTGTAGTAAACATAGTGTTTGAAAATATTGCAAAAAGGAAGTTGTCATTATTATTGCAGCCTACATGGCCTGGTAATGATCATCAGAAATGTATTTTTTTTCCTGTTACAAAGTATTCGCATTTACATGTATTTGTACAGTAACGAGTAGAGTTACAAAGAAACTTATTTTTGTGTTATTTATGCAATTTACTTCCTTTTTATAAATATGTTCTTGGCGGGACTTACATGTAAATGTGCGTTTCAGACCAGCTCAGGAGAATGGACCCGACTAATGCCCGAGCTGCAAGCAAGGGCATTATTAGTCAGAGAGTCAAAAGAACTTGATACATGTATATGTGTGATAGATTTCCAGAGATTTGTTTTAGGGTTTTTCTTTCATTTTCCCGAACACCCCCCCCCGTCCATTTTATGCAATATTCCTTGTGCAAATTGTCCAATTGGTGTGCGCATGGCGAACCGCGTGCACACAAATTGACCAATCAGAATCAATTAAACTGTCTTGTATCCAGGTGCCAGCATGTGATTTACGCAGCGGGCATGATCACCTCTCAGCAGGCATTACCAAATGTTAACTTAATATTATTATCAACTTAACCCTAACACTCCTCAGTCCTCCAACAGATGAAGGATTGAGGAGGGTTAGGGTTAATGAACCGTCAAGTTGCATATTGCTGAATAGGGAGACTGTCTGTGGTACATGTATTTATGAATGGAAATTAATTTGGCTTCTACATGTAGCTTACTTGCATGCTTACTTATTTTTATTATTTTTTTGCTGGCATACCCAAGAGATATCTACAAGGGCTCTTTCTTCATAGCCATCTGCTTTCCAATTCAGATTGAATGTCTAGTAACTCTCTTTTGTCTTCTATGTAAATTTAGCTGTACATGTATGTCAACTGCTGTCATTTCTGATCTCATGTTCCACATGAAATATTGTCTTCATGGCAGAGGTACACCACTACCACTTTGTGAAGCTCAGTGAGGTCATCACGGCTGTCGTAGACAGTGAGAATGCCGAGGACAAAAGCATTGGCTCCACGAAACCCAGGAAACTAAACAACCAGGATGACTTGACATTTACAGGTACATGTACATGCAGGATCTGAAGGCTTAGCAGGAATTGCTTGCTTATGGCCTTCTCGCAAGAGTAGTGCAGTTAACCATTTCTCATGCATTTACTTGATCAACTGCTAAAATTGCTTATACGCATAAGAATTACCCAATGTGGTAAGTCCTGAAACAGTGAAGTTTTAAAGGGAAATTTTCAGTGCGGGCATGCACTGTAGGCCTACTGAATTCCCATACTGACATGAATATTCAGCCTCAGCACAGATGGTCCAGAACATAATCAGTTAAACATTTTCATCCCTGGCTGTTAGGGTGTTAGTTTCTCCTCGAGGGATAGCCCAGTTATTTAATTGCATTTAGGTCTGCAGCTCACCTGTGTATGATCTTGGGCAACCAAGCGTGCAGTAGTAATGCAAACTCTGATCATGACGGCACCGAAGATCATGTCAGGATTAAAAATAAATGCAGTTTTGTTACCAGACAAATTGTCTTTGCTATGCAATCGAGTCCAAGCAACACGTTTTGTATTCTGAACAATTACCATTTTGCCAATTCCTTCCAATGAACTACAGCAAAAAGCTCCACCAAATCCTGCATTAGTTTATTACCAGGCACCGTTACATGTAAATGCATTGAATAATTCTCTGAAGAGGTTGCTATTGATGTAGAGGTCCCTGTCATGTGAATTTGGGTTTAGAGTGAAAGCTTTAGAGTGATCAGATTCTGCTTTGTTCTCCAGTGCACTGTGTTCGGAGGAACAACCAGGGCAAGTGGCGACTGCGAGAGCTGACCTTTGAGTGTGCTGACCAGGACACCTGCCGGCAGTGGGTGACCCAGATCAAGGAGAGAATCACCAAGCAAGGTAAGTCAGTTAACAGGGAATGAGGCGTCTCAATCCAGACTGATCCCTACCTACCAATCTGCTGGGCACACGGATTTCTAGGATTTAGCCCAACCCTCCCAGACCCTTCAAATCCACCGGGATGGTTTAGGATGGTCTGAGGAGGAAGTGTATTCCCCCCGTACGAAATTAAGAAATTGGGGGGGCCACGCACCCGCTGTGCCTTCCTCCCCAGATGTGATACTGGATGAGCATTAGGTCCCTGCTGTCATAAGTCTTTGATTGAACTCGATGCCCCATTTTAAAGTTTCAGTCTGAAGGGTGTGCCACCAATTTCTTGTAGAAAGAAAGAGTGTGGAGATTTTAGGCTGGCCCTTGGCAAAAGTTTATAGGCAATAAGAATTGTATGAGTGAGTCTCGCTAGAGTCTTAAAGTCTTCAGGATGTGGTTTCAGAGATTAAAGTAGAACATATAACTCCTAGATTTCTAGAGTCTTCAAGATTTGAATCCACAAGATGACTTATAAATTTCCTGTTGATAATTGTTTTTTTTTCCAAATTTTCATTGCGTTTTTCTCTGCTTCAATTCCCGCTCCCCCCAATCCATCTTGACAGGCACCGTCAGACCACAGAACCTGCTGGTATTCATCAATCCCTATGGTGGTAGGAAGGAAGCAGCCAGCATCTATGACTCGCACACTGCGCCCCTGTTTCACCTAGCTGGCATCACAACAACCCTCATTTGTGAGAAAGTGCTCCAGTTTAATTTCAGCCACCTTTTGATTTTGCTCGGGCTTTCTTGGGAAATTGTTGAATTATGACATGAATGACCACCCTTGATCGACCCATGCATTCAGATTTGAAGTTGAAAAAAGACGGTTAAAGCCTGTAACCATTAGATTTTGAAGTTTGACTTTTTCCTCATTTTATACATGTATTCTTCAACCTGTATCTGGTGTATCTCTGTCGTCTTTGTAACCCGTGTCACCATTTATTTATCACTTTTTATGCTCTGAAACAGAAGATGTCATGTTAATCAAAATGCACGACTGGACTGTATGTATGTTGCTTGAAACTTGTTCTGCAGATACTGAAGCCAAGAACCACGCCCGTGATGTGATGTTGAAAATGGACCTGAGTGAATTTGATGGGTAAGACTTCTGGGTAATATGGAAATATGGACACTTACGGTACGTCTGCACTTGTCTAATCTAACCGAAAGTGAAATTCCAGAGCAAACTCAACGTTATTTTGGTCAAAGTCAGTGCAACTCAAAAGGTGTTGTTTCCAGGATAGTGCATTTCCAGTGTCTACTCTGTACTGGTTTCCTGATTTCCAAATTTCTGTGTGTTTCTAAGGTTCCTGACTTTGCAAGAGTGCTCTTCCTATATTATTAAAACCACCGCTACAACTGTGTGGAAAAAAAAGCTTTTCTGTTACCGGCTGTTGTGTGATTCTCCCCAGCGTTGTCTGCGTTGGAGGGGATGGAACCTTTGCTGAGGTGGTGAATGGTCTGCTTGTCCGAACTCAGCAAGAGGACGGCATTGATTACAGTGACCCTGAAGCGACTCCTCGGTGTCCCCAGATGAAAATTGGGGTCATCCCCGCGGGTAACTAGATGCAAAAATAAGAGTATTTTGCCAACTTCCTGTGTAGTGCTCTCCTGTAACTTCCATGAATACCACCTTGCTGTTCAATCCTAGTATACATGTACATCCTATCTACATGTATATAATTGCTTTTTCACACTGTGTAGGCCTGTACATTAGCTGTTCCTCTGCTGTTGAAACGAGTAAAAACACTGGCTGCCGGTATGTGCATTCAAATGGAACTTTGGCAACTGTTCAAAATTTGCTAGCTGGAACCCAACCTTGAAGTGTGCTAACTTGTGTCTCTCTGACACAGAGCTCTTAATGCTGTGGCTCTGGAGAATAAAATTCACATACCTAGATACCAGATATAGCAATCCAACATCTTTGTGTGATGTCCAGAGTTTAAGATCTAGAATATATCGGTCTTATTATGCCTCATCCTCTCTCCTGTCTGGCCAGCCTCAGCTTCAACCTACAGTACTTCCCCTTGAGATAGATAATGCTGGCGCAAGTTCTCCTTTTTAATCTGTTTGTATATTCCAGGTTCAACTGATGTAATAGTTTGTGACACCACAGGCGTCAATGATCCCTTGACGTCAAGCTTGCAAATTGTACTTGGTGAGTTCTTAAAAGACACATATGTGTCGTTTTTAGAATCCTGAGTTGAAGCAAATTACACTTGATATGCTGACAGCAGAATGATAGCTGCTATGACGTTGCTAAATCCAGTATGGATGTTGAAACAGGTAATGTTTGTTCTGTCAGAAGTGAACGTTTTGACAAGCTTTCTTTTATATCTTAGGTTGCACCCTAGGCCTTGACATTTGCTCGGTGCACAGCGGTCATCAGTTGCTCCGCTACACCGTTTCCTTTATGGGTTATGGTTTCTTCGGGGATGTCCTGAAGGACAGCGAGAACCACCGCTGGATGGGGCCTCGCCGATACGACTTTGCAGGTCAGTGTGGGCTGAGTGGAGGAACTTTGAGGCCTTGAGTGCTTTTTGCAGCTCGCTCTAGAGACTAAACAGTCATGGGGACTTGTCATGACACATTGATCAGTATGAAATTAAAAAAATCTGTGGTCAACCACAGTTAGATCAAACTTGCTTAGAGTCTTTCTTGCCCTCTACTTGCCCTCTAGATGTTGTCAGAGCATCAGGCAGATTATATCCTAACCACGATGGTCTGTGGAAGATTTACTTTTGGGGAAAAAAGAGATTTGAAATAGTGTTATCTTTTTTCTCTCTTTTTTGTTCTTAAATCGCCCAGGTTTTAAGAAGTACTTTGGGAACAAGTCCTACGCAGGCGAGGTGACATTCCTGACCAGTGGTGATGAGGACCATCATCCTCAGGATAAGACCAAGTGCAGGGTTGGGTAAGATTTCCTCGTGGGTTTGGGTGAGCAAGCGTGGCATACACAGTGCGGACTTCCGCACAGAAGTCCACATAATGTCGGATGTGATAGCGTGGGTTTGCCTGTTGCAGCCGTCTTGGAGGTGTGCTGTTTCTCTCTGAACTTTGCTGGACCAGCCACACTCGCTCTACTGTACTCTAGATTTTGTAGTTAGAGTGAGGTTTTGGTCTTTGCTAGTTGCACATACTGCTGAGAGCAGATGTAATCTTTGCTTTGGGATCTTGTTCTGGACAGAGACTGTGTGCCATTGAGTTATTGCTCAGAGTTGAATTTCGGCAAAGTCAGAAATGAGACAGTGAAAGAGTGCAGGCACGTCAAAAACTATGTTCACTTTGTGGACCCAGGACACTGCCTTACATTGAATTCCCCGGGTTTTTCCCAGAACCTCACCAACTCTTTGAAGATCTTCATCAAATGATGGACTTTTTCTCCCTCCGAGTGGCACCCTAGTCATCATCATCTCTGAACTTGTTGATCCATTGAGCTTTTACTGTCGTTGTACATGTAGGTGTGCAGTCTGTCTTCGGCGATCTGATTCTCAAACCAGCGATGTGTTTGACTGTACGCATAGCAACATGGCTGGGCTAGACTTACAAGAGGATAACCAATCCCTAGGTATATCAGGTATATCATAACTTGTTACTTTCCAGAGGAAAAGAAGTGCTTTTATTAGTTTCTCTTTTTCAGAAAAAAACTTACCTGGTCTGAGCGAAAAGCCCAACCTGAACATGTTGATTTAAAAAATAACCGATGTATTTTTTCCAGTGAAATCAAATAATTTCAGCATTCATATTTCATTTGGGTTTATCCTTGAAATTCTTTGAGATGTAATTGTCGGCACATGTTAAAATATTGTGCATTTGAAAACATTGGTATAACTTCTTGAAAAACTTTAAGCCATCTTTTCAAAAACAGTCATCGTCAATGAGGTATTAAAAATGTACACAGCAACGTCATAAAAAGATAAGAAAAAGGGTTGCATCTTACAGGTTTTCTGAAATCCACAACACAGCAAGACATATCATTGCGATAACTTTGTCATTGGGTGGAAGGAAGTGAGATTTTAACATTTGTCAATGTGTTTGTTGAATGTTGAAAGAGTTGCATCGGAAATACTGGTGGATTTGATCAGAAGTGTTTCCGCAGGTCCTTGTAATTAAATTTGCTATTTTTTAAAAACAAAATCAGTCCAGGAAAGCAAAGGGAGTTGGAAGAAGGTGACAGGCAGTTTCTGTGCCGTCAACGCAGCCCTGGTGAGTGGCTGCAACCGACTGTCACCCAATGGCATAGCGCCCTCATCGCACCTTGGCAATGGCTGCCTGGACTTGCTCCTGGTCCACAAGTGCTCGCGGTTCAACTTTCTCCGCCACCTCATTCGACTCGGAAACTCAGGGAATCATGTGAGTGGTTCCAATGACACAGTTCAGGGAGAATTTCAATAAAGGAAGAAAAGTTTGTTGAATAACTGCATTTGCTTTGGGATTTTGTTCTTGTATGCACATTGACACCAAGGACATTACTGTACCACTTGACAGAAAATTGTCCTTGCAAATTTGAATAGTGATCAAACAATATTCGTATGTCTGTTTAAATTGTACTGTAAGACTATGTTTTATGCGTCCAATTTGCTTAGGAGCAAAATTGTACTTTAACTAAAATAAAATACAGGATAGTCAGAAATATTTCTTTGATGTCCATCAGAACGTGGTTAGGGTTTATAATTTGAAGTTGTATTTGTTTATTTGTGTCTTCTGTAGTTCATCTTTTAAAGTTGAAAATTAAACTTTTCATCAGTAATATTGCTTTCTCTCAATTAGTTCAACTTTGACTTTGTGGAAGTGCATCGAATCAAGGAATTCACATTCAAAGCCTTGACAAACCAGGATCTGAAATCAATCGACCAGGCCAAAGAATCCACTTCAAATACATCTTTAGTCAAGCAGCCGCAGGTGAGGTACCAGACGACAAGGGACAGTAACACCAGCACATGGAACATGGACGGGGAAGTCTGCGATATACCCGACATCAGTGTGCAGTAAGTTGCATCAGAAAATGTTGCACTGTAGTCACAAGAAGCAAACTGCTGTAAAACGTGTGAGCAGTAACCTACAGTAATTCTGTAATTAAGACTGTAATTAAGACTCTGCCAATCCTGTACATTAACTTCGGGGTTTTTTCCCCTATTACTCCAACCAGCGTTCACTGCCAGCTGATCAAGATTTTCGCCTACGGCAAAGAAGACGTGAAATCCTTGAACGCCTCCTGCTGTGTGTCGCGCAACAGGACCAAGAACAAGTCAGCCTGGAGATGAGAACATGATTACCTTGACACAGGTTGCCTAAAACAACTCAGACAAATGATTACATACAAACAAAAACGCACTCCAGCTCACTTTCAATGTCGTCACTCTTTGTGCTAGTAGTGCTTTCAATGTGATGGCAGCTTATGTGCAGTACTTTTAAACTGATATTTTATTGTATTAACATATGTTGACTAATTAAGCCTGTACTACATTGATTTCCACTTAGCTGTGTGATGATTGGATGAATCAACGTAGCAAGTGATTTTGAAATTTACTATCCGTAACATGCTGCAACCAAATTAAGTAAAATCTCAGTTGATTCGCTAAATTGAACGACTGGTTGATTGTCAGTTTGCAAAAAGCCTGATGGGATGCCTGGCATGTCAGCTTTAAAATACCCAGGTTCTAATTCCATCCTGACAACCGACTAGTCCTATTATTGAGGGGCTGACTAATGATGTGTGCTCCGTGCATGTACAAGAATTTTGTTTACCTAGCTGCAACTTCCTTGTTGGCCGACACGACTGGCAGACATGTTCACATGGCATGGTTGACTTCTATGTTCAGTTCCTTATTTAATAATACATGTACATGGACCAGGGAATTGGGTAGACTGTTCCCGGCCCCTCTGTTGTCATTCTGATTCTTAATACTCCCACAGGCAGGAACCAGCCCAACCTTTTTTCTTGCTTGCTGGTCGAGGGTGCTTACTCATGTAATTGGAACCCCTCTACCTCGGAGAAGTCGGGTGTTCCAGAGAGCAACCAGGGAGCTACTGTTTTCCCAAAAATATGTTAGGTGTGGAGAAAATAAATTTATGCATTTGTTTTGTTGCAGGTCACATGCATTTGTAGGATAGGACCATTTGACAGAACTTTCGGAGTTTATTCTTGAAGGGTCACATATTTCAGATTGAATATATATTTATTTGTACTTTGAGGATTGAGTGTGGTTCCAGTATTTATGTAGTCACAGTTGATATAGGGATGAGGTTTATCTGTAAATTTGGCGAGTGAAAAAGCATTTCAGGAAGTCAGTTAATTTTAATTTATGTTTTGAAAGGGATCGTGTGCATATAAATTAAGAATTGTAAATGTGATTCAAGGTAGATGCACTAAAAACTCTGGAAATATAATGTACTTTGAAATGTTTTACGAGAAATAGATTTTATTGATATGTTGATATATTCCAAAGCAACATGATTTTATTAACACAACAAAATCAGTGTCAGAGGTGACCTTAAGGTTTCTTTACTTTTAAGCTTTTGAGAAGTACATCAAGGTTTTTAACTTCTAATTGTAAACTGTACTTATGCATTATCTCAGTATCACCTTTCATGAAAACGTTCATTATCTAATTATGCCAAAAATTATTCAAAGAGAAATATGTATACATGTAGTTAAATCTTAAACCAACATAGGGCCAACATAAGCTCAACAATGAACACAGAACAAAAAGTGGCCAAAACTTGGCTAATATGTGCAGAACCTTAGGAATATGCCGTGAACGAAGTTACAGTAAATATGTGTGGTCAAATGTAGATTTGCCAAGTACTATTCACACAGTACCCGTATTTTCTAACCAAAAAAAATGCATGTGGAGCGTAGCGTCTGTAGTCATGGAGAATTGTGGAAAAGTTTTTATTCTCGTGTGTGGTTCGCTACTGAGAATGCCATTAATCACTCTAACATTTGATCTGAAAGTAATGGAAGTATCTGCTACAGTTGCACTGCGCAGATCGCAATTTCTTCCAAACTGAAATTACTAAAGTTTATCTCAAGTATTTTATTAGTAATCAAAAATTTTATTGTGTCAGTGTTGCTGTGATATATATGTTTTTAACCTTGGTTACAAAATGGTACATTGGATTCATTGTAACCAACCTGCCCACATTGGGTCTCAGTTTTGCATTGCCTGCAAATCAGGTACAACAAAAGGCCAAAGCAGCCTGTCTTTTATTTGCCAGAACTGAGTTGTTGGTGAAACAAAAAAAAAATAGGTCACAAAAGTAAAGATTGTTTTTCCGAGCTCTTGAAGTACATGTGTCTTTAACAAAAGGTTCACTGTGTATATTCTCCATAATTCATGCAAATCTACTTGAAACACCGTCACAACGAAAGCTGCATGAGTTGCCAAAAGATTACGAAGTGTGCTTTAATAGCTACATGAAGCTTGACAGGGATTTAATTAAATCACTTAGTACCTTGAGAATGTTTGGCATCTTGATAGACGCTGAAAAAGAATTATACACAACCAACATGCCTGCATCTTTAATTCCATTGGTAATGCTGGCTGTAGGTATGCAATTGCTTGACCATGCTTTGGCTTCGCACCTGCAGTGTCTCTGTGCTCATATTTTTTATTCACAGCGGTTGTGGAATGGATTTGGTATGGATTAAACCACACTTTAAAAGAACGTTTCTCCAAACATTCAGTCATTCTAAATTTGTGGTCGAGTTGTGCTTGTTTCGAGCTGAAATGCTCAGCTGGTACTCGGTTCTTCTCGCCTTTCCAGCCGAGGATAGAATAACCGTTAGGACGTTCGAATGGGACACTAATAGAGTAATTACGGCTCACAATGTACATGTATCTTCCCCAATGCTAGGTCACTGCCCCAAATCAGCTGCTACAGTACACAATGACTGCCACAGTCACCCAAGATCCAAGTTCTGTTTAGTGTCAAGTAGTCTTTATTTCAACTTTGAAGCATATGATAATTGTACATTTTTAGCTTTTAGAAACTCATTTATAGATCAATATACTATATTTAATGCGCGATATAAAACCGGTAAACTTTTTCACATTTAAAGTTTAAGAATTTACGTGCAAATCAACAGACAAGCAGTAAAAGACAAAGTTCTGATGAAACAAAAAGATGTTTCATATGCACGAGAACCAAAGCTACGTTTTAGAAATAAACTCACTACTTCTCTACCGTGGGGCTTCTTCGAAACAGTCTGTATAAAATATTTGACATGTTATCATCTGCTTTATGTATTGCCCATTTGATGAGACATTTTGTTAAGCAACTCAAAGCCAATTTTGAATCGCATTATTTGAATGCTTTGTAAAAACGTCTCGCAACTATCCTCAGTAAACTGGGGAAAGAATAGGCTCCAACCAAGAAGGCCCCAACAGGCTAGAACCCACACGTAAATATACAAACTGTGTATCACACTCCAAGTGATTTTACAAACAAAATGCACCATTTACTTAAGGTATAAAAAATATTTTGTCGACCTATATATGTAGGTATTCAAATTTAAAACATTTAATGTCTTCAACTAAATGTATAGTGTTTCTGTTACGGACTGCACAAATGACTGCAAAAAGAAAATATATTTTCCAAAAAGAGAATGTGATCTTCCACCATTATTTCAGAATCACTAAAGTTTAGAGGGCTGTTTGATCAAAATAACCAAAAATGAATGCCCTTAGATCGATCTGAAATTGAAACAAGTGTTACATTTATGGCAACTTGGGCATAAATCAGTGGGGGAAAGGGAGAATCCCCCCCAAAAAAATTTAAATGGGAGAATATCATATTGTTGGCCACTCCCCCCCATTTGTTTTATTGCTGGATAAATATTGTGGGCCTACATTTGATTCTACAACTCATAATACATGTGGCTCATTATGCCTCCAAACTATGGAATAAGAACTCTGGCAAAAGCTTTTGCTCAAAAAATCAATCAACTGGTCAGAAATTGTCTCAGATTGCGCCAGAGAGCATTTAGAATCCTAAACTTTCCAGGACCTTGATCAATCGAGCCACCGACCCCACTCTGTTTAGGATTTGTACTATAGGCTCACACTCTTCCCAGGGTCCAATGTTCCCCTCCATCAAACATTTTTCAGAAGTGATCAACGCCATTGATCTGCAGTACAAAAGAGCCAGACTAGCATCAACCAATACAGGATGTCTGATTTGTGAAAACAGACGAGGTGTAAGGTTTTAAAACTTCAACTTGTAAGATGTCCTTTCGTTGGAGGGTGGGTAAAGGAACAAGTAACGGAGTGCTTTTGCAGACTTTTAACATTAAATGTTGGCCAACTTACAAAGGCACTGCAACAATACATGGCAGTGTATGGGCAAATGACGCCACAGTTTGTAACTAAACATCGCCCTCTACACTTCCTGCACACAGCCATTAAGCCTCAGGAGTTGCATTACAGGAAAGCTGTTTTTGTTGAATTTTCTTACTTGTTTCCTTGATAAAAAATGTACACATGTTCAGAGAAGTCTGTGGCTTTGAAAAAACTTGCAGACATAGCGTCACCATATTATCTACCAAACTTAAATCAATGATGATCAAAACATCCAATGCAGCAACTAGCACCCATAATGCATGCATTGGCTAAACAGCAAAGAATAGAAATTACAATGTAATCACAACTTCAACAGCAAAGCAGAGAGGATAATCAACAGGAAAGTCAGTTTTCCTATGGAAACTTGTGCTGAAACTTGGTCTCTGTAAAGACAAACACGGGTCAAAGCGAACAGAGGTCACACGACCATGTTTAATAAAGTTAAAGACAGCAGACCTGAGTGGGATACTTCGACAGAAAGCCATTTTGTTGGCTCATGTTACACATCATATTTTTAAAGTATGCTTAAAGTTAACTATGATAGATTTACAAGTCCGCATATAAATAAGATATGTTGGAAAGTTATGACCAACCACCAGGATAGATGATAATGTACATCAGCCTGAGGCAGGTATCGAAGGCTAACTGGGGCCTGGTGCCAAGTACATGGTGCTACCAAGCACCGAAATAGTTGCTTATAAAAAAAATACTACCCAGTAGCTAAAATGTTAAGTAATTATATTCTGCTTACGACTGGCTCCCAGCTGATTCATGCTTAGCATAACCATGCAGAGCAACATTTCACGCTTGGCAGCTCCACCAAGTTCTTAAGTTGGGCCGTCCAAGTTTGAGAGAAAAACAGTTACTAGTTTGAAAGGGCAGCTACAGAGGTGAAAATTGGTGATGTGCAAATCTTCCAGTTACGGATGATGCAGCTCTACGGTAGATCCTACAGGTTGGGGTTGGTCCACTTGTAGGTTCCCGTGAATTTGAAGTTGTTCTTCTCCAGCAGTTTGTCTGCCTCTGGGGGGCCTCGACTGTCAAAACCAAACAGTAATTCTTGATTAACTGATCAATTTCCTCATTCAAATCTCAAACCGTGTACATTGTACATCATGTTATGGACAAGCTCTGCAACATTTGCAATCATATCGGGCTCCAGCAGGCAAGAATATGCAGTCCTTTACAGTGGGTACTGCAGTGTTAAGAACACAATAGCACGAGCACAAACGTCAAAGAGCATGCATGGCTTTCATCAGAATGTGCACAAATCTGTGGCATGTCTACACTTTCACCAGATGAACAACAGTATGGCATTTATATGTCATCCAAAATCTCAGTCGCTACCCAGTGGGTACACTCGCTCTGACAATGATTCCCAAAGTAACTTGTTGCTTTTCTAGCGGAGCACACGGGTATTCACTAAATTCTCATGGATGTCCACTCTTTCCTTGTCCTAATCCATAACTCACCTGCCGAAGACGTATTCGATTGGTTTAGGCTTGGCCTTCTCAATTTCATTCAGGACAGGTGTGAAGATACGCCAGGCCTCCCTCAACTCATCACTGGGGACAAAACAAGCATGACAAGATGTTAGAGACAAGAAGGGCACTGCTAAGCTACTTAAACTCAACCACCGTTGTTTCTGTAAAGAACAGTAAATTGAAGAACTTATGGCTGATTGTGCTGCGAGGAAACAAAATGATTCTGTCTGATATGTTGAACAGCACATAAACAGACCAAACGCATGCCCTTCGATAGGCTTGGGTGATCTGGACATCCCATCTGCAGGTTTTGGAGAAAAACAAATAAAATTGTCCAGCAACAAACTACAGTGTATGTGTAGCAATAATTACCTGCGTACAAAGTGGATCTGCAGACCACAGAACACATCTAGGATAAGGCGCTCATAGGCGTCAGGCATCTTCACATCCTATGACGAGCAAAGGCAAGCAGGTTGTACGACAGTTAACTGGGTAACCAATCTCAAGAATAACAGATATACTTCACAAGAATGACTGCGACCTCACAGGACTAATGTGAAAACAGTGAGTGTTTGGCCTATTTGGACCGGTATTAACATGGGTCAAGAGAGAGCTCCTTGCAAGAGCCAACAGACAAATCCTCTGGAGTCTTACAGACAGGAAATAAAAGTCATGTGACAGTATTTTGCTCTAGAAAGTGTCAGCGTCTATATTGGATTTTGACCTCCAAAGGTAACACCCACTTGTGCAGGGTACCAACCGTTACCTTGTATCTGGCTCCATAGGTGAGATCCAATTCTGTCTCCTTAGGAACAAAGGACATTCCTGGCGATTTGGTCATCATCTTGCAGTAGACAGCTTCGTTGGGCTGCACACGGATCACCAGCTCGTTACGCTTGCAGTCACCCGAGAAGATGTCCCCGGGAACATCCTTGAACTGGATTCGAACCTCAGCTTTGCGCTCGTTGAGGGCTTTGCCACATTTCAGAATAAAAGGAACACCTGCAGAGAAAGGCATAAAAAACTTTTGATTTAGAAGGGCAGCTGTCTCATATCATAGAATGACAACTTTCATTCAAGATTAAAATTACTCATGATTAGGTCAGAATGAATCCAGATTTGACTGGAGAAACAATTTCACCAGGATGATTTGAGACTTGGCCAGGGTGATCTACGATTTGGCCAGGGTGACCCGAGACTTAGCCAAAGGGGCTTCAGACTTGGCAAAAATAACTTCAGCCTTTACCAGTGACGTGTGATTTGACCTGAATGATTAAAGACTCGACCAGATTAACATGATACTTGACCAAAGCAACTTGAGATTTGCTCAGAGTGACTGAGAAACCAGGGACTTGAAAAGCGTGGCTTGAGACTCCACCAGAATTACTCAAGACCTAGCATAGGTGACTTGGGACTCAACCTGAGTGACTTGAGGCTCAACATATGAGACTTGAGACTTTTGAGAGACAGTATGGCCAACGACAACCAACGTACCATCCCATCGTTCATTGTTGATTCTGAAGACAGCCGCAGCAAATGTGGGCGTAACAGACCCTCTGGGCACTGTAGGGTCCTCCAGGTAGCCTTCCTTAGCCTCCCCCTCTCCGTCCGGGTTGCCCACGTACTGCCCCAGGACCATGTCCTCCAGCTTCAAGGGTGGGATGCACTTGCTGACTTTCACCTGTCCGGGCAGAGCAAGAAAGCCTGTAGGCTTGTTTTTTGGTTTTTTATTTGAAACACAAGGCACTTCTGTCATCAAGATTCAGCGAGGAACGGCTCTGGACAAGCCAAGGGATGGCGGGGGAGGGAATGGCTTACAAAGATCTGGTAACATGGACATCACTGGAATTTCGTCTGAGGGTGGAGGGGTCAAACATTAATCAGCAGCAAACTGACCAGCCATTAACGATGGATTAGGGGATAATGCTACAATTTTTCCAAGCAAATTGGTGATTCTAATCCCTTTCCTCTTTGTCTTCATTTATTTCAGTTTCTTCCTTTGTTTTGCTCTTTTTAATTTTTCCAATTTTGGGGGGGAAAGGAACGGGCAAGCACTCCAATGTCTCACAGCCAATTATTTCAGATCTCAGGTTTGGAAACTTTCTTACTTAGTTTTAGACAATTTCAGGTTTAACCACAAGCTGCCGTGTGCTTTAAAAATGCAGCGCACACATATGGACGATTTTCAAGACTTTCAGTTTTCAAAACTTATTCATATCCCTTAAAGCCATATCTCCCTATGGGAACTTACTTCAGTATTTATGTAAGTTCCCACAGGGAGATATGGCTTTAACAGAGATAAATAAGTTGCCAGGGGAATCCCTGTACAAGATCACGAACATCATAAAGCGTATCGATATCAGTTTTAAAAATTCTTCAGAAATTCATCATTTTATTTAATGGACGTTTACACCCACACGAATGACTGTTTGGTGGCTACTCTAAGCTGACAGGCACCCTTCATTGACTCCTGAATATTTCAGCTAGGCCTGCCGTCCTGTAAAGAGAGCCCAAAATTGTGAGGTGTTGCGTAATTTCCTTTGTCCCCAGTGCATGCGAGTGGCGTCTTTTCAAACGCAGCTGGATCAGCATACAGCGGTGCTGTGCCACTCATCAATGGGGCCCTGGAGCACTTTTGTCTACGGTGCTAATCCACCGGTGCGTCATGCCCAAAACAGTGGTATACTGTTTAAAAACAGTGAGGGATTACCTTTAAAAAATGCAAGCCGAAAAATGATGGCAATTCCCAGCAGCAGGTCTTTTGTTCCGAGTACTATCTTTTGTTACACGGACCAGCTCTTTTGTCCCATTTCGGGCAACCCGGCTCTGCATATAAACCCATGGTGCTCGAAACTGGGTTCCCCGGCAGCAAGTGCTTAACCATTGCTAACCAAAAGGATCAGACAGGAGCTATTCGGAAAGCAGTACGCAACAGCTATACAGCCCCTTCACACAACTTGGTTCAACCATAAAATCAGTGGTTGTTGAAAATATTCATCCACGCCACATCATGATCTACCTTTTCATCGCGCATATCATCAGCGCTAGAACTGGTGGGCTTCTCCATGGCAACCAACGTCAAAATCTGGAACAAATGATTCTGCATCACGTCCCTGCAAAAATGTGAACAAACCATAAAACTTTCAATAACCCAAGAAATTATCAACAAAGATGAGTTTCACTCTGTACTCTGATCTTTCCATCCTAAATCACAATCTGTTTTCTGAAGTTAATATGACAACAGTCGTGTTGCCTCAATTCAACAAAAAGACTAAAGGTTCTTACTGAACTCATAGTAAAGACTTTGATAAGTACAGCTTGAAGTTACCAACTAACACCTTACCTAATGATGCCAAACTCATCAAAGTAGCCCCCTCGTCCACCCGTGCCTATTGGCTCCTTGAAGGTAATGATCACACTGGCGATGCTGTCACGATTCCAGACAGGACCAAACAGCCGGTTGCCAAACCTGTTGACCAATTCAAGTGAAAACAAAAATGCACAGTTCAAATTCTTTCAGGACAAAATGCTACAGAAGCACTGGCAATCTAGCCAAAGGTTTTTACTTCCAGTTTGCTTCAATGACTCGCCAACGGTATTATTTTGGCGGAAAATTTAAAAATTTTGAAAATGGCAAGTACATACATAGGGTCCACAGTTTACACAGCCTAACATCATAAATACTTATAGATACTTTGAACAGCATTTGTGTATTTCTTATCACAACTTCATATTTTTCAGCACCCTGGTGTGGGTTCATGGAGTAAGATTTGTAATGACAACAGGCCATGCACTACCTCCAAGTTCAAAGTTCAACGCACAGTCTACCTCCACAGACTTCTCGGACTTTGTGTGTGTGCACAAAATAGATAGGCGACAGATGTGTTTTACTGTCAACCGAAGGCATGATTCAAGGCATGCTTATTAATGGTTTGACCCGTTAACTGAGTCGGTTTATACACGTACAAGCAAACAAATTATGTCTACATGTGATAGCGATTAAAAACCTTGTGTGACCTTTGACCCCATCACCAGCGACCACAAAGATTACAAGATAAGAACCCTACCTGAGAATCATAATATTCTGCACCATCTCCTTGCCCAGGTAGTGATCAATACGGTACAGCTGCTCCTCACTAAACAGCGCCTTCAGGTGATTGGACAATTCATTAGAGGACTCCAGATCACGGCCAAAAGGCTTCTCAACAATCACACGAGACCAGCCCCTGAAAAAAAATTAGAACAAAAGCAAAGTAAGGAGCCACAAGTTTACACATGACTAACAACTTCTGTCCAACATTGTTTGCTGTTGAAATTGACAAATTCTACTTAGCTTATCGCTCTAAAAACTGACCAAACTCAAACATCATACATGTATCTAACATCTGACTGATCAAATATGAAACATTTCATTTTCATGTGCCCGCCGGAAGTCTTCAGATGTTGATCTAGGAAGAAATCCTTCATACAGGCTTCAGTACTAGACACCCAAATACTACCGGTGTCTTCAAAGAGGGTGGGGAGTGACTGGGGTGAAACTCCCGAGAGGGCCAAGCGGTGTGCACATTTATTTGATGAGTAAAATAAAAGCCTATCAATTCCAGCTAGTACGCAGACTTTATACATTTCGCAATTTCAAATAGACAGAGCACACTGGGGGCACAGACATCTGCTCGGGGGCAGGGGATGTTCCCCTCCCCCCAGCCCCTACCCCCATATCATTACACCACCGAGTTGCTTGCAGGAAGAGAGAATTTGATCAAACAGAGTGTTCTACCACCCCTTACGTGGGGGACATGCAGTGGGTCTTGATGTGCTTGGTGACATCCTTGAAGACGCTGGGCGGTAGGGCCAGGTAGAACAGCCTGTTGGCCTTGCAGCTTCCTTCTAGTCCAGTCAGGACCTCGTTGAGGTTTTCAAAGGCCGAGTCATCCGTGTACGACCCCTTCACGTAGCGGTTGGCGGCAAAGAACTTCTCCAGCTTATCGGCTTCACCATCTTTCAGCTGGATTTAAAGATGGAATAACAACCTTTTTACAAATATTGAGATCAAAACTTCCAGATATACATATGAAAATTCACCTTTTTTGAAGATTTTATTTTATTATGAATTTATAGATGCTTGACTTCTGCAACAACGATAATAACTGTATTGAAATGTGGAAAAAAATGTATACTGCTAAAATCAGTGAATTAATACTACTTATATTTTTCCCAAGTGTAACTTGGTAGAAATAAATCCAACAATTTCTGAAGTCTTAGTCCATAAAGTCTACAGGCATATTTGGAAATTTGAAATCAATACTTTGCAATTAATGAGACAAACATCTGCAAAAGTGAACACATGATTGCAATAACAATTCAAGTCACCATTTCCAAGCTTATACCAAGAAATGTACATGTATAAGTGCTTGCTTTCTGCACCCAATATGTGATTGCAGTATCTCAAATGTTGATGTCATACTTTGGGTCAGTTGGTAAATAACACAAAGACGAACAGCTGTGTCATATTGGGCACTGCACCAACTACATGTATCCTACACAGGAATATCAGGTGGCACTTTTGTGCTGTCCAACAACTGTGCCTCACTGTTTCATGTGCATCATTGTGCAGTAAACCAAATGCAGTGAAGAGGACTGCACAAAAGACCCTGGGTCATTTTGTGCTGGCAACCAACTGTGTACACACTGAACCTGTGCATGTTTGTGTTCCATATAGAAAACACATGCACAAGAGTGACTGTGGGCATTCATGCATATTTGAGAGAGTTAAAGACTACAGGCAACATGATTCACAGTCACGCTTCCAAGCCCTGCAATATGAATAAACAAACCCTTTCAATTACTTACTGTATATCTGGACTTTGAATTTGCTGAAGGAACTTGCATTACAAATCCTGCAACGGGGCCAATTTTCTTAGCACTGGAAAACATTCCCCGAGTCCAAAAAATGAATTTACCTGTGAAATGACTTGCAATATACAGGTACAGGTATGTCACTCGTGACTGCTGTCACGTTTGTTTTTCCTTTTTTTTTACAATGCAGCTCCATGACCCTTGACCCCAGACATCCTTGGAAAAGAATGTTTGCGCTCATGTGACAGACCTGGAGGTCAAGTGTGCATTACAAAACAAGTGTCTGTGCAGCAGTAAGATGGCTAACTCATTATTTCTTCTGCCCAAAATCTATGGCTTACTTAATTTCATCTTACCTTTAAATATGGAGTAGTTCTTGATTTGATGTCGCCAATGGAGAGAACCGAACGGGCAAACCCAACAAACAAGGTCTTTTTCGGCAGCAAACCATCTTTATATAGCCACCTGGAGTGGAAATAAAAACCAACCACCACCACGAGATTTAACATGGCAATTGAAGCAGGTCCTAACTGGTTGTTCAAAATTGCAGGATAGCGTAGGATAAATGCAATAAGCTTTAGAAGCTGAAAGAAAAGGTTATCACTCCCCATGTCCCTCAAATTACAGGAAACTGAATCTAGTATTTTACCATACTGGCATGGCCTCAACAAAACAAGGGCACCCAATATTCACGCCATGTCTGAATTTATTTGTGCATTTGCTAGCAGCTGGCAGTGCAAACTACAAGCATGAAGTACCGGTACATGTGCATGTAGCATGCCTGAGAACAGGTAAGCACACCGCTTGGGCCCTCCTTGCCCTCAGTTTCTGTTAATCAAATTTTACATGTGCATTACTTGTCCATTTTCTCAATCTGTGGATTTTTCACAAGTCTGAATATTTAATTTGACCTCAATCAGAAAATAGGTCCTTTTGACTTCCGTGAGTCTCATAATGCATATGGCAGGGCTAAAAGGCTTGCTTGTTGAGTACCACCAGTTGGGAATATTCTTAATGCAGAGCTGGACCATTTGAGACCAAAGGGGGAAAAAAACCAGTTGAATTCCACAGATAAAAACTCACCACAGCGTGGGGTAAATCTTCTTCTTTGCAAGGTCACCCTATGTAAATTAAAACCAAAAGTGACAGAAACTATCATTCAGCAAAGTTATGTTGTAATTACAGTGTGAAGGGATTTAAACCGGCAACCCTTTTTTTAACACAAATCTTCAACAGAATACTACACTCACCGATGCACCGAGGATGATGAAGATGTGAAGATCGTCACCACAAGCCTCGTTCATCGTCCCCTGGATGATGCTCAGACCCTCCTGGCGATTCTGAATCAAATGTTAAATTCAACCGAATCAGCAACAATACGCATGTACATGTACATTTATCGATGTCAGCAAGCCTTTGGCACCCAAGATCACCTCATCTGGAATCTGCCAATATGTCTTTAGTGAAACACTGCACATATATACACTAGTTGTTACATATAAAGTACATGTAGGTATGGTACAGCATCAACAGGAATAGAAAAAAACATCAATGTGGAACACAAAGCTCCATGCATTTATATTCTGCCATGCATGTTTGCTGGTACCAAGTTGGATGCTACCTAGTCAAACCAGAGGAAATGCTCCTTGCTAACACCTTAACTACCAGTGCATGTACATCATACAAATGCAGTTTTTAGAGGTTGACATAACAATTTTCACTTCTCTAAATCTTCAATCAACCCAATGCCAGCATCACCTGAAGAAATGATAAACATCACAGGACTTTACCAAAGTTGCCTCGTGAACTTGAACCAAACAGTGAGTGGAACCTAACACCTTGGTTCATAGGATTGCACAGAGAGTCAGCAGCTCCTAATCACGCTGAACTTACAACTCTTCACAAGACAAGTGAACCGGCCACACATTCTCCACAAATATTTATAGAGAAGGAACACCAACTCAGCATTTCATTACACATTAACTTCACACTCAGGTAGCAACTGCAAAGCCTGCTCTCTAATGATCTGTCCTTGTCAATACAAAACACTCCGCATGGCCCTCGTCCCTAGTGAATAATTGTTAGAGAACTTCTGCTTACTCATCATCCCAACTCCTCCAGAGTTGTCAATGTTGCCTTGTAAGCCGTAATGTTCCAAAGCTGCAAAGCAATATGCCCACCCTCCCAAAGTTCAATATTCAAACATGTACAAGTACCTGACACACGACCTACAAGCGTGCACTCCTATGCTGAAAAGCACTGCAACTATGGCCCCACACACCAAAGAAAACCCAGCTTATCACCACTTCTGACCTGCATGCACAACAAAGTGCCCAACTATATATAGAGTATTTCATGACACAAAACTGCAAACTTTTTCAGCAGCTGCAGCGCAGGCAGCCTACATGCATCTGGAAACTGGCATTAATGACAGGTTCCCATTGGTGATTTACATTTGCATTTACGCCGTATCTGTCACGTGCAACCAATCCCATCCAAAAGTCCAGCATCTAGGAAAAGAAGCACAGACTGCCTGGCTTTTACCAGACTCACTTGCGTGTATACACTTGCTCTCAGCTTCATTCTCTCAGCTGCATCTGTCGTTTGAAATCACCATCAGCATATGCACATTAATCATACATGTGCTGGCTGCACTTTTATCAACCATTGGAAGGGCTCTATCGGGACCACTTAATCCCTCACGAACTAATTCAATATCTGGTCAGGAAATTGCCCTAACAAGATGTACATCCAAGGCATGGGCTACAGCTCTTCAAGAAAAACAAATCTTGTACCCCTAACTTTGTACGCGTGTACACACGTACCTTGAGAACCAGCAAGAACTGTTGCTTCAGAGCTTATGAGAACTTCACTGACTTCATCTATCGATGGAACCTTCAATCTGTGAGTGGAAGCTTACTGTTCTTCATTTATCAAGGCTTTTTTTCCATTTATTACCGGCCGTCAGTTTATTTGGTTATCATTTATTATTAGATTTCTGGCCAAAAACAACATATGGTGCATGCAGGAAAATTAAAAAGTCCCATACGTAATTCTACATAAATGCTGGTGCTACAATGGATAAAATATTGAAACAAACTAGTCCTACCATGAGCGGGACCAAAAAAATCCCAAAAAATATTATTTAACAATTTAAGAACATGGAGGCAGAGTCTGCAGATCAGTTTGCGAATGTGTGGAATGACAGTTTGGGGCCAAATCCACCATGTGATGAGTGTACCGAGGTCCTTCCACTTCAGCAGATGATGAGCGTGTGGTTGAAATTGAAATCATTTTTAATCTGGCAGCGGAGTCAAGTAGTGATCCATGTCTGGCCGGCATTACTGGCTGCATGTACATGTACATGTACCCAGTATATAGAATTGAGATGATTCAAGACTCACCCTTGGTATCATACAACCATAAAAAAAACTGGCTGAAATGCAGTTACTGTGGCAAGTAAACCATACAGATATCCCAAGCTCCACAAATGTTTTTTTTCCCCACAGTACAATGTGTACATACGTAGTTTCATGCATGTTGCTTCTTACATGTAGTTTTACCTGTACACATGATGTACCTGACTTCCTGAAATGGAAAGCTACATAAATGCAAAACATAAGAAAATATTTACAGATGAAAAATTACACCATCAAATACGGCTAAAATATTTTGCTTCGAACAAGAGTTGTTGACATGTGCTAGTACATGTACATGTACATAAAAATGTACTAGGTATTACATGTGCAGTGTACATGTACATGTATGTACCGTATGTACATAAGACTACTCCAGCATAACTACTGATCCTTGAATGATGGATTCCAACCAAGAAATTTCAGGAAATTATAGTTAAAACTGGTTTCAAGAACAAATTAAAATTAGATCCTTAAAATGTGCATTCGCCAGGAAAACTCCCCCATGTACATGTAGATACTCTTTTAAATTAAAGAAGAAAGAATTGCATCCTTTCAATGCATATGATAATTTGTACTGGTACATGTACATGTGCATCTAGTATTATCCCTTGTCCAGAGTACTGTATGGTGTTGCCCGGTTTTTAGTGACCAAAGAGTTCTACAGCTCCTGTTGGGATGAGCCATTAGGAAAGAATGGCATTTCATTCATGAATTTTGGACACTGTACCAGTACCCAGGTGTCCTTATTCAGTTATTGGATAATAAATTCAATTAGGTACAAATATGCCCTTTGCCATTTGTCAAGCCGGGAAAAGAATGGACAAATGTAAAATGTGCAAAGATTTCACAGGATTTCAGGTTTGGGTTACTACAGTAGTTGGCACTATAGGCCTAAACTTGGTGCATGCATGCATGCATGCATACTGTACATGGGATCTTAAAATTACATAGTACATGTACATGTACTAATTGTAGTGTACTTCTTGAGTATCTGTTGAGTATTTGTACCACCAGCAATTGGAACTTGAGTATCAAGTGGGAAATATATAAGTATTATCCCAGTATTATTCAAAGCACATCACCTAGTCAAACAAGTTTTATTTGACATATGTACAAATAACATATATATTAATGAAGACATACATGATACATGTACATGTATACATGTAGTACATGTACTGTACATGTTAGCCGATATTACCCACACATACATGTAAACGTGTATTTCATGTGCAGAGTCACAGAGTTTAATAAACTACATTTGTACCCACCCCTAGGTTCAATGTCTGAAGACAGCAGATATTGGCAATTTTTTTATGGATTTTTGAGCTCTCCTCTTGCCCGTGATTCTGGATTACGCATTGATTTTCACACCTGGGTGGTTATGATCATGCCCCTGGGCCTTTGCCCATTTAATCATGGGGGACGGAAGAGGCAGGGACGTACCGTATTCCGTCACGACATCTCCATTCTCCAATAAACCACATGCTGTATACATGTACCAGTACAGTGTACCAGTAATCCAACCAAATGAATCTTACTTCCATTTTTTATTTTTTCTATTTCAGTTTGAACTTAGAAAAACCAAACTGAACCCTTTTGACTTGATATACATGTACATGTCACTGAGTTTGGCATCCTGAAAAAAATGGACTAGCAATATATGCGAGTAAAAAGTGTGGATGGTTTTGTAAAGACTTGCCAGATTCTCTCAAAGGCCTTAACTCAAATGTGGCTCTGGCAAAAAATGGTGCATTACCGTTTAAAGGTCGAGTCAGAGCTCGTTTTCAGCAAAATCAAAATATTTTGTGGGAAAACAAAACAACTAAACATGTCACCTTTATTTTTAATCTGAATTACATTTTGCCATTTACATGTAGCACTTTCTAGCTTTTCAACTTTAAAAAAAGATTAAGACTGAATAGATTTTACTCCTTTAAAAGATGAAAAATGTAAAGATACCAAAAATTTGACAGTTTGGTTCTCCGTTTTTCATGAACTTGAGAAGTTAATATTCAATTTACAAGTCCACAAATTATTTAGAAGTACATAGTATTTATAAAACTTTATTGAGCATGTAGTCTTGAAATGTCATCACTTACCAAATATTTTGAAAGTTTTCAATGCATTTAAAGATCCCCAGTTTCCAGCGATGGAAAACAAAGAAGCATGCCATGAGTTTTCTTGGCTCAGATTTATAGCAACATAGATCAACATTTCAACGTGTTCAAGGTGTACCAACAGGATTTGACATTGTTTAACCAAGGGTCAGCCCCTGAATGTCCTGGTTGTGTGGTTATTTTATACACAGTGTACATGTACACTGTATACCATACAATTGATGCATGCAGAACAAACCACCCACCCACTTTTTATCCTGAGTTCACTGCCTTGATATCAAGAAACAGGAAAATCCTGTTTGGTTTTCAATGAGCATGGTCAACGGTGCAGCACGTATATGTACATATACATGTACGTGTACATGTCCAGGCACATGTATCTATGCAGCAGCCAGGGTACGGAATGTGTTATGTATATGTACATGTACAAAACTTGCATTGTCATGCAGGAGTTGAAGGTTAAGAGGAGAGCAGTGACTTGTCTGGGCAAGGTTCAATTTCTAAAAAGTATTCAACTGCATATTCACGGATTCAGTTGAAGACAAATTGAAGATACTGTACAATGTACAGTACATGTACTGTCTGACTGTATAGCCCACCTCACAAAGAAGACAATAAATGCATGTACATGTAGGCTACATGTATAAATGCTTTCTTGTGCTTGTTTATAATGTAGTACATGTACATGTATGCACACGGCACATGGAAAGGAAGGCAAGTTTAACATTTGTTTAATTAATAAAATATTTGGTAATACGGAACAATTTAAGGAATGGTACTCATCGGCTGCTTGAAAGTCTATAATGCAGGCATGCATTTGGGAAGACAAGGGGAAAAAACAAGGGAATTTATCAAGCTTTGTGAATAAAAACTGGAAAAGGAAACAATTTTCCTAGAAATTAACAGTACAATATCTAGCAATATTTTCATTTTGCACACACCTACCTGTATATGGTACATGTACCTATAATTGACTGACACCAACCCTGCTCTGGACCAGGTTGAGATTTTTCAAGCCCGGTTGAAAATTGTTACTGCTCATTTCTGGGTTGAACTCGCCCCAATAAGCTCGGTATGCATGATACAAGCGTGAAACAAAGTCAGGTTGAATGCAGGGGTGAAAAATTCCATTTTCAACATAGAGCAGTCATGGGTTCACCCAGGGTCGAGTTCAACCCAGGCTGAGAGGCGGTAGTGTAAAAAGGCCTTAAAAACTACATGGGTTGTTGTCATTCCGCATACAGTGTTTGCCTTTTTGCAGGCCAATTGGTGGAATGAGATATACACTGTACACCAACCTCTTCTTGGCTGAAGCTAGCTCACTTTTTCAAACATGCCTACATGAACATCAATCAAGAATACATTGTATATGCCAATGTACAGTGCACAATCGAGTTCCCTGCTAAGACATGAAAAGGTCCCTACATGTGCATGTAGGCCTATGTATGTCATGCCTGTCCAACAGCCACCAGGCCGGCATGGCTACTACAAGTAGGCCTAACCACAATCGATTTCTGCCGGGTGCTAGCCCAGGGATGGATCCAAAACCAAATTTTCAGGTTGGAAATGTGTGTGGGTTTAATGGGGAGGGGGGTTTGAAGTTCATCTTAGAGAGTCTAGGAATGTGGAGAGTTTTAAGAGCGGGCTGAAGATGCACCTTTTTAACAAGCATGTTTGGTTCCTTAGAAATGATTTTAATTATGGTACATGTTATATTTATTTATTCATATTTTGATGTACAGCACCTGGGAGCAGCTTGATGGATTGGGCGCTTTATAAATGTCAATTATTATTAGGCCCTATTAATAGTATTATTATTATTATAAATGCAATTTGTGGGGTAATTTTTAGGGGTGATGAAATCAATTATCCGATTGTGTCATCTGGAATTAGACATAGGGCCTACATTGCAATAAACATTGTTTTTAAAAAGTGCACATCTGTTGTTCATGTTTGTCTCGCTTTTTGCGCAAAATGTATCGCATTTGGCGATGCGAATCCAGCTACAATTATTTCCATCAATGACATGACTGACAGGGATAAATGCTGCACAATCTGTCTGTCAAATCACAGAAAACCCGGATGTTTCTCTTTGCATAAAAGACAGCAGAGCCTACCTGTGTTCCACTCTTAGCCATTTTTTACTGGTGTTGTAACAGTCCGAGGCAGAATTTCAGGATAGTTGAGGCAAAGCAGTCAATAGAAACTGCAAGTCACTCGGACTCACTCGCGCACTCTCAACGAATGAATGATCGAACACGTGGAATCGGTGACCGATGTACACGACACGAAGGCGAACTTTGCGAAAGTTGATTCAAATTCTGACCAAGAACAAGCAATAATCCTTAATATAGAAGCTTTATTTTAACACCAAATTTCTGCTAGCATAGCTACTATACATGTAGCTGGTTGGCCCGGACAGGACCAGCCACAATCACTTCCTCATCCGATGCTTTTTTATGTAAATTTGGTGTCCTTGTTACATATGTACATGTACATGTACGTATTTGCTTGCGAGGTCTGGCAGGTACGTGTATGCAGATTGGCCACTTGCACTGTGTACCCTTTTGGTACGGATAGCACGAATGGACATCCAATACAGATATTGAGACGATGGTCATGACGACTCAGGTTGTCGTTGGCGTCTGGAGAAAAAGTCGCTGTACAAAACAATTACATGCTGTTGTTGATGTAATGTTACATCACAGGCAGATCCAGGAGGCAATGGTGCCACGCCCCCAGAAGCGAACCATTTTTGACAAAATATAAAGAAAAGTTTTTGAGATAGGTCGGGTTTTTCGGGGGGTCACGCTTCCTTTTAAAGCCGTGTAACTCGGAGGCCCCCAGATGAGCCTCACTGCTCCAAAACACCATTAGGGCCTAAAGGTTTCATTAAAATGTCTTATGGGGGATTTTTGCTCCTCCAAAAACAAGTGGACATCCGTGTTTATGATCGTTTTTGTGGGCATGTACTTGATTTCTGGACATCCCAGGACTGCCCGCTGACTGAGATGAAGCACGTACTTTAGTGGTAATTAATCCTTTGGTTATTACCCTCTGGAGAACTCCCCATGAAAGTCGTCAAGAGGCTTGAGAGTAGCAAATTAAGCTAAATCACTCACGGCTTTCCGTATTGCTTGTGATTAGGCCCTATGCAGACTCGATGTTACTTCCTCTCGGTGTTTGGGAGAAAGGATGGCCGTAAACATCGGCTTCAGTGGTACATGTATGACTCAGCAATATTGCAAGAATCTATAACAGCGTCACTTCGTAAAACGGACTTAGCGGCAAAAAAACTGGCAGCTATACCTGATGCAGTCTTGGAACCGGCCAGTGAAGAGGTTTCAAGATACTACAGGTTTGAGACCAAGTTATTAAAGCACATAAGTTCCCTTATGTCATTTGCCTTCCCAAGAATATCGGAACCAAAATGAGCAATTCTTCACACCTTCATGATGCAACTGGCTACTGAGCATGTATCCACGTCACATGGCATGCAGGACAAGATGTCTACTTCTTCAAACGAGACAAAGTACATGCACATCATGGAAGATCGAGTTCCATAAACTGATAAAGTACACGAACGCCATTCATTCTTCCCTATAGCGACTTAACCGTCAGAAAGCAAAAACATGTCCAGAAAAGTTCAATTTAGGAGGGGAAATACCAAGTCATTTACTGGGAAAACACTTTTTAAGAATTTTTAAGACCAGTCTCATAGGGTTTGTGCACAGGGTGTCAAGCGGCGTTCGTGATATGGAACTCTTTCCACTGGTTGTTGGCAAGTTGTCGCACCCAAACTTGCTCAGAAATTACAAGCAAATTGCCCTCCACTGGTCTTTTGAGTCAGTGACCCCTTAGTTACGGACGGATCCAGGGGCGGACCAATGGATGTTAGGCTCCATACCCCTTGTCCCATCCCCTTGGCCGCGGCTAATTAACACAGAGGCTGTTTTACTAAGTTAGAGGGTTGACGTCACTCTAATGTGCCAACCAACGCCCTTCTACCCGGCAGGACCTTCATTGTGCCATTTTTTGTCTTAGTTTCCGGGTACGGCGGCCGCCGTACCCGGGTACTAATGTATTGTATTGGGTATAGGCCTGACGTTAAAGCTTTGCTTGAAGTGATTTTTTTTTCAAAGTGATAAAGATTTTGTGTCCCATGCAATGTACCCATAATCCGGCAGGGGATTACTACATACATGTACATCATGTTCATGGCTCATCAGTGAAGCCCATGGCAATAGTTTAAACCATGGAGGTAGGAAAAGATCGAAAGGCTGGCTCTAGTGCAGTGTAGGTTCCTACGATAATTTAAAATCCTATTGCAGTATCTATTGACATTCCGGAAGCAAATCTGGAAGGCCCCTTGAAACGATCACGATGCAGAGCTGGACTGATTTTAATCAAGTTGGTTATACTGGCGCTGTGATTTGGGTATTTTTGTTTTTTCGCTTGCCATTATCGCCTCCACTTCGTTGCTAGCGCTAAGCACCGCTGAAGATAGATTAAACTGCATGCCGCAGTGCAGTTTCATGTAGAGGGCAGCATAACAGCAAAAAACGTATGGGCGGTTGTTATCCGGCTCCACCCAAATTCGACCGTTCAAAAAAAGGCATGCCAACTTTGAGGACACGCTCACTTCTTCTCTCTCATTTTGCGCTTTAAAATACCTTTTCAGCTTCTAATTCAGCTTGACGGTCGGCCATTTTGGCGTTGGTTGGTTGGCTGGATGTCGGTTGACTTGATGGGTGCTGGTGGGTTGGTTTTTGCTCCGATGGTGACTGTGTAGTTTTTCCCCGCGGTGACTTGCCTTTCGCTTGCTGCTGTTGCCTTTTCTTCTTACCGGCAGACGCGCTATTGCCCATAGGGGGCATGGATGTAAAGGGGTACTAATCCTCGCGGGCACTCGGGCTCACGAGCATGCACTACTGTGGAATTGGTATTGAAAGGGCAATTGCAGAAACTTCAGGGGAATCCTGCCTCAGACAGTCTGATCACCGGCAGGAATGACTAACAACAGCCGGCATACGCGACAGCTAGTAGTTACGACTTCACAATAGATTTTCCCCCTTTTACTATTACATGTACAGTGTACTAGTGCCGGTAAGCAAATTGGCATTCAGCCGGTGAGTTTCGGATGAATACTCCGACGTAGCAACAACACAGAAAATCAGCGGGCTACGTGCACCTGTGTACAATACAAAGGTCATGGAGGCCTCTTAACAGGCCACAATGGATTTCATGCTTGAGCTGTTTAGGATGAGTCGAGTTTGGAATAACCTTGTTTGCATACGAATTTTCGTTACGCACACGCGTCAGCAGAATGAAGCTTGAAAATCGACCTCGCTAGCGGCCTTGGAGCTGGCCTTCATTCGAGGCCATTCCAACAACCTTAAGCGTCTGCGGGATATAAGGGCTCTGTGATGCCGTATGGTAGTGCAAATCGAATGGAAAAGCAAATTCGCTTAACAGAATTCACTCGAATACACCTCTTGCGTTAAGGCGGAGTCAGAGGCTGTTCTTTGTTATTTCAATTTAATTACGATGAATGCACAAAAGGTTTACTCAAGCCTATCCTATCGTACGCAGGGGGTCTATACAGCACTCCCTGGGACAGACGGGCATGAAGCACACCGCTTGAAAACGCTACATGGAAAACTCAACCCATGATCAAACCATCACACCAAACTGAAAACCCACAAGAGTACATAAGGTCAATCACTCAACTCAGTTTGTAACACCAGCCACAAACTCAGAAGTGTACAAAACTATATTTTCCCCGTACAAACAAAGCATGTAATAGTCTCCACCCTACTCTATTATTATACAAAAGACGCAGTTAAATTTAAGATAGTTCTTTTCAAAAATTTTCGTAGTAAGTCGCCATCTAACCTCCACCACCTCAACTTCATGTAATATGTTGGAGGAACTACTAACCAACAATGCATTTCTTTATGACAGAATGAACATTCCACAAACATCCAAAGGGCGGATCCAGAAATAATTTTTGGAAGAACATTTTTTAAGTTAAATATATTTGGGACATTTTATTGTTTTTGGAAGGAATGGATATAAAAAGTTCCCTCAAGTTGCCTTTATTTTATTATATACATGCTTTGCATCCGTCTCAGCACATGATCCTATTGTAGCTCTATGGTAACACCAAGCTGCTGAGAACTCCTTGTGCCCGTCTCATCCAGGGTACCGCCACCGCACCACGGCTAGTGCGCCCCCATCTTCTGTTCAGTACATGCGGATAGCCAGGGCAGTCCTCACACAGCCAAAGTGATCGTTTATGAAATTTGTGGCTACGTCTAGAGGTTTGTAACACTTGTGCCAACGCAAGTCACGTCGGCCGCTGCTGTCGTAAGCCTCTTTCCGTTGACCTGACGCACACTCTGCAGCCAGCTAGTAGATTCGCACACTGTCCAGTGGCTATTTTGTGTTCCTAACTCTACAGTTGAGGCGCTGGCGGCGCTATACGATCTTTACTTAAGCCCTTTCTGATTTACGACGAGGATCAGAACGTGTGATTTGATGTGGCGAAAATCCATTGGCCGATCCACGCAAGATGGCAGCGCCCATGCATGATCTAGCATTGTGATTGTTTTCGCCGGCTTCTACAGTACACGTATATAGGCCCTACATGTTAAATTTCTACGATTGTATTTTAGTTTCGACTGGGTAAGTGAAATAAACCAAACCGAATGAATTATTAACCACAATGGAAAGAATGCTGCATCCTGCCTGCACTTTCTTCATTAGGGGGCCTACAAAAGTACATGCATGAACTAGGCCTACTGACGTCGGGTCTAGTCTTAGTGTAGTCTGTAGGCTGTAGCCCGGGGTCTTGAGGGAGACATGTCATGTCTGTAATTTTTTTATTCCTCCATGCCTAGCCAAAATTTTTAAGCTAAGCCTGTTTTTTTCTGTTTTCTTTTCGTAGTGATTTTGGAGAAAGGACGTCTGGATGTCATAAAAACCTTTGATTTAACACCGTGGCTGTTGGTACGGCAGCCGTAATGCATCTCTTATTTTCTATCGTTAGGCCTACGACACTGCAACTGCGCAAGTGCGCCAACGTAGCGCAGATTTCGGACTTAATTTCCCTTTAAAAAAATCCTCCAAGGCCTCTTATGAGAAAAGAAAAAGGATTCCTGCTTAGCCTTAGCTAGCCTATACAATTAGAAACCAACATAAAAAAAAAATTATGGTATAAAACATGAAACTTAGGCGAAAAAAAAAAATGGTCCGAGCACAGATTCGAACTCACACACCAGTGGTTCCAAACCTTCCACCTTGACCACTCAGCCACAAGCGTTCAGCGATTCAGGTAATTTTAAAACGTATAAACCGTTGTAATGATCAGCTACGTCATCGCACTTGCGCAGTTCAGTGCCGTAACGGTAGAAAATGAGAGATGCATTATGGCTGCCGTAACGATAGCCACTTCGTTGATTTAAATTTGGATTCCATCGGACTGCAGTGCAAAGAAATGATGATTTGAACATGTTGAAGTAGAGATATTTTGAGATGGATAAATTAAGATGTGTTGGGATTTTTTGTAGGTCACTACTGTTTACCTTGCCAGGCCCTTCCATGTCTTCGTGCATGTCAGGGTTGCCCCTCTACATTTATTTCTTCAGATCACCTGAGTCCCAGGTTTTGACTCGCCCCTTCCTCTTTTTTTTTTTTCATGGTCCAATGTTATTGTCATTTGCTTGGGATTTTGTTTGTGGTTGGTGATTTCGTGTCTTTTGTTGTTTTATAACCATGGTATTGATGTAAACCAAACCCTCTGATTAACGTGATGAAGTTCCTCATTGTATCATTATTGTGTACTTTTAATCTTGGAATATTTGATCAGTTAGTAAATGTACAAGTTTATTTGTTATAGAAATTTAATGTTTGGATGTGAAAATCAATGAAAGGAAAAGAGAATACTTTAATTATTTACTAATTTTGTTACGAAATTTCACAAGCATATTTCAGGTTGGTACAAGTTTTGTTGTTATTATTATTATTTGTAGTAAGCATGAAGGAAGTAGATTGCTACAAGCCTTTTTCTGAACTGACATCTACTTCTTGCTCATTTCTTTCAGAATTGTTGAGTGACCTGAAATTCTATACCAACAATTGTTGGAAGACTGGTACAGTGTACATGTATGTTGCGTCTGAAGAACCAAAGGCCTGTCTGATGCAGTAGGGCAGCTCATCTTGGCCATGCTTCCAACAAAGTCCGCAATTTCAATCGTCTCGATCGTCTTTCTCCTGTTTGTCAGCGGAAGTGCGGCAAACAAAAAGAAAAATGAGGAGGTTCAGAAAAAATGTGACACCTGCAGAGCTTTGGTGAAGTCTTTCCAGGAGGTGAGAGGATTGAATTTGTCTTCTACATGGAGCTAGATTCATAGGTTTGAAATACATGTTCGTACGCATGTGTATGCATACATGTACATGCTGGTATGTTTTAAACAGCTAGAGAACTATCAGCTTTATTTGAAATTGAAAGTATGAAAGTGTAGGAGAAATATCTTGCCTATTAAGGCTAAAACAATTATTTGATTGATTGATCATTGCAGCATTTTGTATGTTACTCAGTTACGCATTTTCAGTAAATTGCCCATATTGAATGAAGATTGTCCATACACTGTATTTTGTCCACGTTTGGGCTCCAGTGGACCTTCAGCATGTTTTAATCAAGTTTTTTTTGTTACAAATATTTGGACTCACCAAAGTAACAATTTTCCTGTCATTTGAAATCTTCTCTCCGTCAAAAATCGATAAATAAAGTACACATTATCATTATAATGTTTTCCGCATTCATCCTTCCTGTCAACTAAACCATAGACAGTGGACTTAGAAAAAAGCATTCTATCACTCAACAACAAGCCTTATTTCCTTTAACAGAACCCTTTGTGTGATTTGAAACCCCAAGTTACATGTAGTTAGTTATCTGATAAGTGCCAGCATTTCTTCTTGGGCTGGATAATGGGGAAAGGTCAGCTTGCTACACAGACAGGTTATTTCAACAGTTTGTCTGAACTGTTCAAGAAGTCTGTCTGTCTGGACTGTTCTGTTATTCATGTGAACAAACTTGTTGCAAACAGGCTCAGGGACTAATGCTAAATTTTGGCAACAGTAATGCTATGTTCTTCACGTACCGGTTGCTGGCCTGTAGTTTTTAATAGGGTGGCAAACAATTAAGCTGGGCGGCCTGTCATTCCCAAACCCCTCATGGCCTGTGCGGTTGAATTGATTCGAAACTGCCAATTCTTGGCTCCATGCATGCTTGCAACCTTCACTTCTGTGGCAAGGGTCTGCCATCTCGCAAGGCTCTACGCATATCAGCATCAGGCTCATCCACTTACTTTCAGCAGAATGATTAGACTCTGGAGTGAGTGTTTGAATGTTGAACATTTGGGGCTTTTTCATCTGATTGATCAGGGAATGGAGCGAACGGCACGGTATAACTTTGCTGGAGGTGACACTGATTGGGAGGAAAAGAAACTAGGAAAATACTCCACGAGGTCAGTGTGGTTACATTGTTGCATGTATCATAAAAATTTGTCCATTTTTGTCATTAATTTTGTAATCTTAATTGTAAAGTAAAAGCACAGTATACAAATATGTATCTGTTTAGTATTTTATTATTACATGGTAAACTGATCAAAAGTGAAACCACAGTTGATTTCACAGCAAAGTAAGCATCACGGATGAGGTTTTAAGAAGCATTGATTGAAAGCCTACCGTCTGCCCAAGAACATGTGCAGGGGTTTTTCGTTTAAAAGGCAGATGATATTCAACTACTGCATAAACTGTGTACAAACTACAACTGTATGTACATGTATGTTACATCCATAAGCCTTGTTTAAAGGTAAAACCTGCTACAGGCCCAGAGGAATTTGTTTTATTGATTACTGGGATTGATAAATGACATGACATCAGCTGATAGCACCCTAGCAGCTGCACATATAATTACTGATTATCAATATCACAGATGTGTAATCAAGGCATTGTGGACTCACTGCCTGCTGTCATTAAATGTAGTGATGAGCTTCTGTGCTACATTTATTGATCAGTGGTCAAGTGTTTGCTGCAGATTGTTTACTACGTGGCTTTTAATTAAAAGGCAGTTGTACAGTTCCGTTTGAAAGTACAAGTATGTACACACTTCAGAAAGTTTTTTTTTTTTTGAGCCAACTACACCTGTACATGTATCATTACACCATGTACCTGCATGTATTTGAAGTGCATAGTCCCACCAAAAGTGAATGATTACATCAGTCTTGAAATTACATGTTTATTCATTTGAAATTTTTCTTGGTTGTTATTTTGGAGAGTATATGGTATGCAGGGGCAAGTTGCCCCCCCCCCGCTGGATACACCACTGACCAGTTGTGAGCGTACACGTATAGCACATCTACGTTTTTGTCAATTGCACATGTACATTGTATGTTCTCAGCAAGAAAAAAGATGGCTTCAGCACAGTGCAGGTAGTATAATACTGTGCATGTAAATCAGACGTTATTACATTGCTCACAGTTTCTGGAAAAGTGACGCTCAGAATTTATACATGCTCTTGCTGGACAGAGTTTTCTTTGTGTTCAAATTTGCTTGTATACATAAGAAATTGCTTACATGTACCGCTATGCCCTCTTCTCTATCCAGTGAAACAAGATTGATAGAAATTGTGGAGCAGCTGTGCTCAAAGGATGAACACGAGGTAAGCCGCACTATCTCACACAGTGCTTGAAAATTCATGGGACCAATCAGTGTTTTCCAGACAATGTCCATCTTGTTTCAATATCATGACACCACCATCGTCTTCATATTTAGGAATGTATAGTGTCTCACACTTTGACCTCAGTGACTCGCGAACGGCCATCCTCAGTCACCTCCCAAAATCACTCTCCTCACACTATTTTGAAATGAACTTGTATACGTATTGCAATGTCTCCAATCACCCTGCTGACTTGATGTCTTTATGCAGTGCAATAGATTGCTTGAAGACCATGAGGAACAGCTTGAGACTTGGTGGAAGGAACATCAAACAGATCAGCCGGATCTTTTACAATGGCTGTGCATCGATGCTCTTCTAAGTAAGAACTTTGTGCTGCAGATGTCAGTTAAACAAGAATTTTATGAAAACAAGACATGGTTTTTCAGAATTCTTGTATATGTATCAGCGACACATACTTTCTTTGTTGTTTCAACTATACCCGTAAGCGGCAAAATTTTTGAAAAGCTGTTTGTTCAGGAATCTGTATTATTCATTTCAAAATGTCTTGTTTTTTCTATCTACTGATTTTTTTTCCGTTACTGATGCTTATATATTTTTGGTTTTCTCTTCAATCTGTCAACAGTTTGCTGTCCAGATAATAGATACGGCCCAGAATGCCAAGGTATGCATTATGCATGAGATAATGTACAGTCTTGTCATAAGTTGTCCTGTAATCTTTTTACATGTAAATTACATTGTATTTATTTCTCGATGAATCCATAATACCACATGGGTGCTTGAATGATTTTTGTAAATGTGGGAAGGAACAGGTAAGACAATGTTAGGCTGTAAAGGGACTTGTGTGAAGTGTTATATTTAAAAGGATTTAAAGAACACTAAAGACTGGCATTAACGCTGTAATTTTCTTTGTCAATCAGACTGTCCTGGAGGTCTGGAGAGACCATGCAAAGGGAATGGAAAATGCTCGGTAAGTACATGTCATCAATTACTCCTGTACTTGATCGTTGCAGAGAGAAAGTTGTAATTTACATCTAGTGCTCTTTCAGTGGGGATGACAAGTTGCTTTCAAGTAGCTAAACAAGAAAATGTAGCAGGAGAAACCAAGTCTAATGTGGGGCATAGGTCTGCATAAAAGTGTGTGCATATAGCAACTATTGCCACTGCACAATTGCAAACATTTTAATACCCTCTAATTTTGCTCGTGAGTTTTGGTAGATGCACACAGCTGATGTCAAATTGTATTTTCTATTCTCGTGGAGTAAATTCATGACGTTGTGTTTCTCTAGGGCGGTGGAACCAGGGCCGGTACAGGGAAGTGCAAGTGCAGTGGCGGTTATAAGGGTGAGCTCTGTGACGTCTGCAAAAATGGCTTCTACACAGAGACGGCTAACGAAACCCACACAGTCTGCACTGGTAAGTCTCCATTTGTCATGTTAACTGTGGGAATGATGGCAAACGTGCGTGAGTGGTCTTCAGTTTTTTCCCTCTTTAACCCTCCTATGCTGAAGTCACTCTTTGGGTCACTTGGTGAACACCTCAAAGAAGCACAGCTGTGTTGTGTTGTGCACCAACAGATCTTCACAGGAACATCAGATTGCACTTTTGTGCTTCCCAACAACTGTGCCTCACTGTTTCATGTGCATCATTGTGCAGTAAACTAAATGCAGTGAAGAGGACAGCACAAAAGACCCTGGGTCATTTTGTGCTGGCAACCAACTGTGTACACACTGAACCTGTGCATGTTTGTGTTCCATGTAAAAAACACATGCACAAGAGTGACTGTTGGCATTCATGCATATCTGTGCTGTAAAACCATAGGACGGTTAAAGTTTTGATGTTCATACGAATGGCTTGAGGTAAGACTAATGAAATCCAGTACACAATTGTACTGTTGAAGTCAATGGTGCCATGGAAGTCGGAGTTGAAAAATCTTGGATGTGAAACCTTTGTCTGGTGTGCCTGCAAGCAAGAAGATTGATGCCCAAGTTAAAGATACAATAGTGCCATATGTGGGTTTTTGGGGGCTCTGATGATGGAAACAGCACAAATGTATCATAAAGGTAATGTTGAAGATTTTGAACATATCTCTAAATGAATTAAGCTCTGTATTATTGCGCATGTTAAGTTAACATTCAGGCTGACTATTCACATTAGTCAGGTTTTTTTGGCTTGCTTTGCAGCCTGTGATGAATCCTGCGCAGCAACCTGCACCAAGGGCGGACCCACGGGGTGCAAGAAATGCAAAGGGGGCTACATTAAGGATGAGGAAAAGGGTTGCCAAGGTAACCAGAATGTTATATAATCAGGGAAGATTGCAAGAATGCATTGATTTCTCAATTGACTGGAACTACATGTTCCATTTTGGGCAAATGTTTGTCCCAGTGTAGCTTAAAGTTTAATTCAGTGTTTTTTCAGTGTAATGTCCTCAGCACAGAGAGGTAGTGGCTTTTTTACAGGGTTGCAGGGGCTTTTTAGACCTTCATCCTTCTGCTTTGAATTGAGTAAATCTATATTTACCAAGTTTCCTAAAAGTACAGCAATTTTGCATTCATATTATTGCACTCGTGTCTGGTAAGAAGGGCATTGGTATTTCAGTTCGCCACAATTTGATGGCAAAGGTTTCATCGCATGCCAAAGCCAGGCCAATTTCCAATCTGGCATTTGTACATTAATTTCTTAGTCTTTGTTTAAACAGGTCCTTCATGTAAATATAATCTCTCCAGCCTATTCTTTCCAATTTGCCAAGATATTGACGAGTGCAAGCAAGAGACGCCTCCCTGCCAGTCAAATGAATTCTGCCAGAACTCCCTGGGGTCTTACCAGTGTGTGGCCTGCCACATGGCCTGTGATCAGTGTATAGGGGAGGGCCCAGAGAGCTGCGTTAAGTGTAAAAGTGGCTTCAAAATGGAGGAAACCACGTGCAAAGGTAGGGAGAAATGAAACAGTTGAACTTCGAAAAATCGTAAGGCTGTAACAATTGGTAGAGTTGAGTTGAGCTGTACCGTAGACACCTGTGCATTCATGTCTCTGTTCGCTGAATTCACCTGTCTATTAATATTTGTGTTACCCTGTGGTTCTTTTCAGAACCACACGGTAACACAAATATTAATAGACAGGTGTGTGGTTCTTTTCAGAACCACACACACTCAAAACAGATACCCTTGTATGGTGCTACTGTAACCTCTCCAACTAAATATTGTGGTAGCTATCCATAGTGGCGAGAGCTCTCTGTTGCAGCCATCTTTCCATTTTGAGTGCCTAACTTCATGGTGACATCCCGTTGAGGCTCTCCCATCTTTGAGGCTAACTTTTAGGGCACCTGTCCTGAAGAACAACTCAGTACTTCTCCTAGCAGCACCACTGTTGCTACCCATATGTACCTCCTCTTTTGTAGGCACATGTCTCCTGTGGCCAGCTGTCCATTGTGGCTACACCTGCCTATTATGGTTTCCTGTTCATTCTCACC